ACTGGGACTCGTGGGAATGAACAAAATCTGTGGCTCACACACTGGGACTCGTGGGAATGCAGATAATCTGTGGCTCGGACACTGGCACTAGTGGGAATGAACAGAATCTGTGGCTCGGACACTGGCACTGGTGGGAATGAACAGAATCTGTGGCTCGGACACTGGCACTCGTGAGAATGAACAGAATCTGTGGCTCGGACACTGGGACTCGTGGGAATGAACAGAATCTGTGGCTCGGACACTGGGACTCGTGGGAATGAACAGAATCTGTGGCTCGGACACTGGCACTGGTGGGAATGAACAGAGTCTGTGGCTCGGACACTGGGACTCGTGGGAATGAACAGAATCTGTGGCTCGGACACTGGGACTCGTGGGAATGCACAGAATCTGTGGCTCGGACACTGGGACTCGTGGGAATGAACAGAATCTGTGGTTCAGACACTGGCACTGGTGGGAATGAACAGAGTCTGTGGCTCGGACACTGGGACTCGTGGGAATGAACAAAATCTGTGGCTCGGACACTGGGACTCGTGGGAATGCAGAGAATCTGTGGCTCGGACACTGGCACTGGTGGGAATGAACAGAATCTGTGGCTCGGACACTGGCACTCGTGAGAATGAACAGAATCTGTGGCTCGGACACTGGGACTCATGGGAATGCACAGAATCTGTGGCTCGGACACTGGGACTCGTGGGAATGAACAGAGTCTGTGGCTCGGACACTGGCACTGGTGGGAATTAACAGAATCTGTGGCTCGGACACTGGGACTCGTGGGAATGAACAGAATCTGTGACTCGGACACTGGCACTGGTGGGAATGAACAGAATCTGTGGCTCGGACACTGGGACTCATGGGAATGAACAGAATCTGTGGCTCGGACACTGGGACTCGTGGGAATGAACAGAATCTGTGGCTCGGACACTGGGACTCGTGGGAATGAACAGAATCTGTGGCTCGGACACTGGGACTCGTGGGATTGAACAGAATCTCTGACTCGGACACTGGCACTGGTGGGAATGAACAGAATCTGTGGCTCGGACACTGGCACTAATGGGAATGAACAGAATCTGTGGCTCGGACACTGGCACTGGTGGGAATGAACAGAATCTGTTGCTCGGACACTGGCACTCGTGAGAATGAACAGAATCTGTAGCTCGGACACTGGGACTCGTGGGAATGAACAGAATCTGTGGCTCGGACACTGGCACTGGTGGGAATGAACAATTCTGTTCATTCCCATGAGTCCCAGTGTCCCAGTGTCCGAGCCACAGACTCTGTTCATTCCCACCAGTGCCAGGTTCCGAGCCACAGATTCTGTTTATTCCCACCAGTGCCAGTGTCCGAGCCACAGATTCGTTTCATTCCCACGAGTCCCAGTGTCCGAGCCACAGATTCTGTTCATTCCCACGAGTGCCAGTGTCCGAGCCACAGACTCTGTTCATTCCCACCAGTGCCAGTGTCCGAGCCACAGATTCTATTCATTCCCACGAGTCCCAGTGTCCGAGCCACAGACTCTGTTCATTCCCACGAGTGCCAGTGTCCGAGCCACAGACTCTGTTCATTCCCACCAGTGCCAGTGTCCGAGCCACATATTCTGTTCATTCCCACGAGTGCCAGTGTCCGAGCCACAGATTCTGTTCATTCCCACGAGTCCCAGTGTCCGAGCCACAGATTCTGTTCATTCCCACGAGTCCCAGTGTCCGAGCCACAGATTCTGTTCATTCCCACGAGTGCCAGTGTCCGAGCCACAGACTCTGTTCATTCCCACGAGTCCCAGTGTCCGAGCCACAGATTCTGTTCATTCCCACGAGTCCCAGTGTCCGAGCCACAGATTCTGTTCATTCCCACGAGTCCCAGTGTCTGAGCCACAGATTCTGTTCATTCCCACCAGTGCCAGTGTCCGAGCCACAGATTCTGTTCATTCCCATGAGTCCCAGTGTCCGAGCCACAGATTCTGTTCATTCCCACCAGTGCCAGTGTCCGAGCCACAGATTCTGTTCATTCCCACGAGTCCCAGTGTCCGAGCCACAGATTCTGTTCATTCCCACCAGTGCCAGTGTCCGAGCCACAGATTCTGTTCATTCCCACGAGTCCCAGTGTCAGAGCCACAGATTCTGTTCATTCCCACGAGTCCCAGTGTCCGAGCCACAGATTCTGTTCATTCCCACCAGTGCCAGTGTCCGAGCCACAGATTCTGTTCATTCCCACCAGTGCCAGTGTCCGAGCCACAGATTCTTTTCGTTCCCACCAGTGCCAGTGTCCGAGCCACAGATTCTGTTCATTCCCACGAGTGCCAGTGTCCGAGCCACAGACTCTGTTCATTCCCACGAGTCCCAGTGTCCGAGCCACAGATTATCTGCATTCCCACGAGTCCCAGTGTCCGAGCCACAGATTCTGTTCATTCCCACGAGTCCCAGTGTCCGAGCCACAGATTCTGTTCATTCCCACCAGTGCCAGTGTCCGAGCCACAGATTCTGTTCATTCCCACCAGTGCCAGTGTCCGAGCCACAGATTCTGTTCATTCCCACCAGTGCCAGTGTCCGAGCCACAGATTCTGTTCATTCCCACCAGTGCCAGTGTCCGAGCCACAGATTCTGTTCATTCCCACCAGTGCCAGTGTCCGAGCCACAGATTCTGTTCATTCCCACCAGTGCCAGTGTCCGAGCCACAGATTCTGTTCATTCCCACGAGTCCCAGTGTCCAAACCACAGATTCTGTTCATTCCCACCAGTGCCAGTGTCCGAGCCACAGATTCTGTTCATTCCCACCAGTGCCAGTGTCCGAGCCACAGATTCTGTTCATTTCCACTAGTGCCAGTGTCCGAGCCACAGATTCTGTTCATTCCCACGAGTCCCAGTGTCCGAGCCACAGATTCTGTTCATTCCCACCAGTGCCAGTGTCCGAGCCACAGATTCTGTTCATTCCCATGAGTCCCAGTGTCCGAGCCACAGATTCTGTTCATTCCCATGAGTGCCATGCGTGAGCAGTCAGTGTTTGTGTTTGGAAGCTCCGTCGAATCGATTCATTAATCCTTGATTTTCTTCTTTACCACTCATTTATAAACAAGCACTTTCTATTTCTATATCATGGGAACTTATCCTCGATACTATTCCTTATAAAAAACAATCGGATTGCTTTGATATCGCTACTTAGATCCAACTTTGCGAATCTCGGCTACTAGCCTTTAGTCCGCTAGCATTTCACGCGTGGCCTGAGGTGGATAAGAGTTAGGAGTTTAAAGAGTCGCTATCCGACCGTGGTGCTAATTATATCCGCGTTCGTACATTTCACGTTCGAGCTTCGACTCATCTGATTTAGTACGTCAGGTTAAAGATATGTAATCTCGTGTTTAGATGTGTTTATACTTTCATATTTGTTGTTTGGATTGATCAGTACTTTGTGGTTGAGTAAAATAAGAAGTAATGTATATTAGTGCTTAGAGAGGAATGAGTGTATGCATATGTTTCATTTATTCATTTGTATTTGTTTCTCTCTTTATAGAAACCACACACACAATAACACGCCCAATCAGAATTACACAAGAAAGAGGAATAAACGAACAGAACAAGAACTATCTCTCCGCTCTTCATTTCATACTCTGGAACATTTGGCCTTAAGTGGTGTTCTGGCCGACACACCTGAGTGAACTTGGTGATAAACCCAGAACTAGCACCTAGACTGAGCGTCTACCCATTATCTTCATTACACGTGGGAATGAACAGAATCTCCACAGTCCCTGCAGAAGAGAGATGGAGGGAAGGGTTTATTCCTATAACAACACGGAGTGGGAGGCTTTCCCAGGCCATCTCGAGCGCCAGGATCTGATGAATCCCTGATGATCACCGATATAAAAAGACATAAGAGTTAGTCTCCTGAAGAACAACAGCAGAAGTGAAGAACATCAGTTCTTACATCAACACTGAACAATAACAGCTCAAATCTGTTTAATCCACGGAGGATCCGGCACGGGATAATCCTGGATAAACCACAGTTCTGAGTTTCTTCTTCTACTATTATAATTTGTCTGTCTGGAAAGTCCAAATTCAAACTTCATATATGATCTAGAATTACATTATTTTCCTCTTATGTTTGCTCCTGAAAAAAAAAAAAATATTTTGATTTTGATTTCTTAAAAAAAAAATCTCACATGCCAAATTTATGCCTTAGATTTACTTCATCTTTTTAAATTGTCTGTTTCGTTAATATTACTTACTTCCAGTATTCCCTTTTGTTAATTACATTATTGTTTTATTGCACATTTTATTTTTCACTTCTTCCTCTGTTTATATTAGGCCTACTTGTTTTTTTTTGCACTATTGTTTATTGTATTTTGATTGTATTTTATATTTTATATGCACTGTATTTAATATAAACCAATGGAAAGGTGAAAATTGTGAATGCATTTTTTACTTCTTCATTCGTTTATATTACTTGTTTATTTGCACTACTGTTTGTTGTATTTTATATTCACAGTATTTTAATATAAACAAATGAAGTGACCATCTTATGCATTTGGCAGAAATGTAAATGTAAAATGTTCGCTTCTTTATTTTTTTTTTACTATTCTTCATTGTATTTTATATTGTTCACTGTATTTTACTCTGTTCAGCGTCTCATGGCTTTGGTAATAAATGATGTAATAGAATAAGAGCGATAATGCGCGGTTTGGACATGTTCCCTCGCTGAACTGAACTCAGGCTGTAACTGCACATGCGCATTCTCTGACCGGGATCAGGCTCAAGTTTACTTCACTACCTTAACTCTTCGAAACATTGTTATATCGTTTAAAAAGTTAACGTGAGTTTTAGTCAACGTGATAACATGATTACGTTTCAGTTAGATCTTTCTCTCCGCCTCTCATTGCGCAACTCTTGGAGAGGAAGCTTCCCAAACCTCAGAGGATATTGCAAAACCTGCTTTTCCTGTGGATATGGAGAAGTGGCACGACAGATCTGACACACACACACACACAGAGAGAGAGAGAGAGATACGGGTTCGGGCTCTTATGAACACGTAAAGCTGTCTCTTTAAGACAAACTAGTGCACATGACTGGAGTATAAAGCGCATTTTACTGAGGGAATCATGTTGTCTTGGGAAGAAGGACTGTAGGTAAGATTCCTCACTTCCGAATCTGTTTTACCTCATTCATTTATATCCATGCTTTAACTTCTGTGTGTGGGTTAAACATTTCCCACATTTCCCCTGTAAACATGCGGTGAGGAAAATCATTGCCTACCATTTAACTCGATGAATGAATGTTCCTGTTCCTGTCTGTTCTTAGATATGGAAAAATCAGGCTGTCAGAAGTTAGGACACGCTTACTCATTATTCATTTTTATGACCTTTTCCGACATTTTAAAATAACAGTAAAGCCATAAGAATACATCACATATGCAACTTTATGGGAATTTAGTAGTGACCCAAAGAAAGAGAAGTCCAATTTAAACAAATGAAAACTTTGTATTCGATGAAGATTCAAGCTGTTTACAAGGTGCATCATGGGAGGCTTTTCAACATGTGCTGCTCAAATGCTTGTGATTTTAGTTGGATGAAAAAATTCAAAGAGACAAATGTACATAATTGCATTAAGCTGGTGAAAGTATGTTTCCATCCAACGGCTTTAAAGCGAATAAAAACCTGTGCGTAATGACGTCACATGCTGTTTTGCGATCAAATTGGTATGTCGAATTGATTTGAGACATTTTAAGGTGTTTCCATTCATTTTCGCACAGAATCGCACAACATTCAAGCAAACATTTGCGAACAAAGTTTTGCTAGACAAAATGGATCGCGCCATCTACAAACAAATGATCAATATTGCACAAGTTGCTGATAGCGACATACGTAAGGGATAATGTATAGCGAGGTGGTTGTTATAGCGAATACAACCCCGACAGGCTGATTATTCGCGTCGGGGTCTTGAATCAGCCTGAAGGGGTTGTATTCGCTATAACAACCGCCTCGCTATACATTATCCTGCTTATTACATGGCTACCTACCAAATAAATCAATAATTTGACACAAAATATTGATTTAAAAAGGAGTTTATTGATTTAAAAACGATTGTATAACGACATATATAATTCACCATGACGTCACAACAGTAATTGACGGTCTTCCGGGTGGCAAAAGCCGAAGCGTTCCTATGGTAACGCTAGTAAATTGCTTGGAAGGGAGACCCACCGTCGACTGTAAAAAATGTAATAAAAAAATTTGAATTAAATATAATGCGTTTTTTTTATCATAATAACAACTGTGTTTAATGATGTAAGTAAAAAATATAAAAAAAAATATAATATAGAAGGCCTACACATAATTAGCAAAATATTCTCTAGCTCTTTTTTCTAGCCAAAATAACGTGCTATAGCCTATCATGGTCATTAAATGGCTTTCCTGAGGTAAATGTTATGTGACATAATTGTTCTCCAGCTGTTATATTAACCTGTTTGCATGGTTGAAAAACACTGATAAGTCAAGTCATCTTCATTTATATAGCGGTTTTAACAATGGATAGTTTCAAAGCAGCTTTACAGAGATAAACATATAATTTAAGGTAACAGAGATTGTTTTGGCTTTATAGCGGTTCTTAAATAATGTTATTTCCAGCTAAAGTTAATTTTGATTGATTCACCTCCGTCGAAATGATCAGACTCTAAACTGAACCTGTGATTAACGCTGACGGCGTTCACATGCACATTAGGAATTGATTCTATAGTTATGAATCTCCTTCGTCAGATCTGGATACGGCCTGGATCCGGAAGGCTGCGGGAAAACCTCGGGATAAACAAAGACACTAATATTAGCGTAGATGCCATTCTTCTTATGATGTAACCAGATGTACTTCTCATGCGTGTCCTCATGCGTGTCCTCATGCGTGTCCTCATGCGTGTTCTCATGCGTGTCCTCATGCGTGTCCTCATGCGTGTCCTTATGCGTGTTCTCATGCGTGTCCTCATGCGTGTCCTTATGCGTGTCCTCATGCGTGTCCTTATGCGTGTTCTCATGCGTGTCCTCATAAGTGTTCTCATGCGTGTCCTCATGCGTGTTCTCATTTGTGTCCTCATGCGTGTCCTCATGCGTGTCCTCATGCGTGTCCTCATAAGTGTTCTCATGCGTGTCCTTATGGGTCTCCTCATGCGTGTCCTCATGCGTGTTCTCATGCGTGTCCTCATGCGTGTCCTCATGCGTGTCCTTATGCGTGTCCTCATGCGTGTCCTCATGCGTGTCCTTATGCGTGTTCTCATGCGTGTCCTCATAAGTGTTCTCATGCGTGTCCTCATGCGTGTTCTCATTTGTGTCCTCATGCGTGTCCTCATGCGTGTCCTCATAAGTGTTCTCATGCGTGTCCTCATTTGTGTCCTTAAGCGTGTCCTCATGCGTGTCCTCATGCGTGTCCTCATGCGTGTCCTCATGCGTGTTCTCATGCGTGTTCTCATGCGTGTCCTTATGCGTGTTCTCATGCGTGTTCTCATGCGTGTCCTTATCATGTCCTTATGCGTGTCCTCATGCGTGTCCTCATGCGTGTCCTCATGCGTGTCCTCATGCGTGTCCTCATGCGTGTCCTCATGCGTGTCCTCATGCGTGTTCTCATGCGTGTTCTCATGCGTGTCCTCATAAGTGTTCTCATGCGTGTCCTTAAGCGTGTCCTCATGCGTGTCCTCATGCGTGTTCTCATGCGTGTCCTCATGCGTGTCCTTATGCGTGTTCTCATTTGTGTCCTCATGCATGTCCTCATGCGTGTCCTTATGCATGTCCTTATGCGTGTTCTCATGCGTGTCCTTATGCATGTCCTTATGCGTGTTCTCATTTGTGTCCTTAAGCGTGTCCTCATGCGTGTTCTCATGCGTGTTCTCATGCGTATCCTTATGCGTGTTCTCATTTGTGTCCTCATGCATGTCCTCATGCGTGTTCTCATGCGTGTTCTCATGCGTGTCCTTATGCATGTCCTTATGCGTGTTCTCATGCGTGTCCTTATGCGTGTCCTTATGCGTGTCCTTATGCGTGTCCTTATGCGTGTCCTCATGCGTGTCCTTATGCGTGTCCTTATGCATGTCCTTATGCGTGTTCTCATGCGTGTTCTCATGCGTGTCCTTATGCGTGTCCTCATGCGTGTTCTGATGCGTGTCCTTATGCGTGTCCTCATGCGTGTTCTCATGCGTGTCCTTATGCGTGTCCTTATGCGTGTCCTCATGCATGTCCTCATGCGTGTTCTCATGCGTGTCCTTATGCGTGTTCTCATTTGTGTCCTTAAGCGTGTCCTCATGCGTGTCCTCATGCGTGTCCTCATGCGTGTTCTCATGCGTGTCCTTATGCGTGTCCTTATGCGTGTCCTTATGCGTGTCCTCATGCGTGTCCTCATGCGTGTCCTCATGCGTGTCCTCATGCGTGTCCTCATGCGTGTCCTCATGCGTGTCCTTATGCGTGTCCTCATGCGTGTTCTCATGCGTGTCCTTATGCGTGTCCTCATGCGTGTCCTCATGCGTGTCCTCATGCGTGTCCTCATGCGTGTCCTTATGCGTGGCCTCATGCGTGTTCTCATGCGTGTCCTTATGCGTGTTCTCATGCGTGTCCTTATGCGTGTTTGGACTGAATCAGACCTGCGTGTTCTCATGCGTGATGTCATGCATGTTCTCATGCGTGTTTGGACTGAATCAGACCTGTGTGTTCTCATGTGTGATGTCATGCGTGTTCTCATGCGTGTTCGGACTGAATCAGACCTGCGTGTTCTCATGTGTGATGTCATGCGTGTTCTCATGCGTGTTTGGACTGAATCAGACCTGTGTGTTCTCATGTGTGATGTCATGCGTGTTCTCATGCGTGTTCGGACTGAATCAGACCTGCGTGTTCTCATGTGTGATGTCATGCGTGTTCTCATGCGTGTTCGGACTGAATCAGACCTGCGTGTTCTCATGTGTGATGTCATGCATGTTCTCATGCGTGTTTGGACTGAATCAGACCTGTGTGTTCTCATGTGTGATGTCATGCGTGTTCTCATGCGTGTTCGGACTGAATCAGACCTGCGTGTCCTCATGCGTGTCCTCATGCGTGTCCTCATGCGTGTCCTCATGCGTGTCCTCATGCGTGTCCTCATGCGTGTCCTCATGCATGTCCTCATGCGTGTTCTCATGCGTGTCCTCATGCGTGTCCTCATGCGTGTCCTCATGCGTGTTCTCATGCGTGTTCGGACTGAATCAGACCTGCGTGTCCTCATGCGTGTCCTCATGCGTGTCCTCATGCGTGTCCTCATGCGTGTCCTCATGCGTGTTCTCATGCGTGTCCTCATGCGTGTCCTTATGCGTGGCCTCATGCGTGTTCTCATGCGTGTCCTTATGCGTGTTCTCATGCGTGTCCTTATGCGTGTTTGGACTGAATCAGACCTGCGTGTTCTCATGCGTGATGTCATGCATGTTCTCATGCGTGTTTGGACTGAATCAGACCTGTGTGTTCTCATGTGTGATGTCATGCGTGTTCTCATGCGTGTTCGGACTGAATCAGACCTGCGTGTTCTCATGTGTGATGTCATGGGTGTTCTCATGCGTGTTTGAATTGAATCAGACCTGTGTGTTCTCATGTGTGATGTCATGCGTGTTCTCATGCGTGTTCGGACTGAATCAGACCTGCGTGTTCTCATGTGTGATGTCATGCGTGTTCTCATGCGTGTTCGGACTGAATCAGACCTGCTTGTTCTCATGTGTGATGTCATGCATGTTCTCATGCGTGTTTGGACTGAATCAGACCTGTGTGTTCTCATGTGTGATGTCATGCGTGTTCTCATGCGTGTTCGGACTGAATCAGACCTGCGTGTCCTCATGCGTGTCCTCATGCGTGTCCTCATGCGTGTCCTTATGCGTGTCCTCATGCATGTCCTCATGCGTGTTCTCATGCGTGTCCTCATGCGTGTCCTCATGCGTGTTCTCATGCGTGTTCGGACTGAATCAGACCTGCGTGTCCTCATGCGTGTCCTCATGCGTGTCCTTATGCGTGTCCTCATGCGTGTCCTCATGCGTGTTCTCATGCGTGTTCGGACTGAATCAGACCTGCGTGTCCTCATGCGTGTCCTCATGCGTGTCCTCATGCGTGTCCTTATGCGTGTCCTCATGCGTGTCCTCATGCGTGTTCTCATGCGTGTTCGGACTGAATCAGACCTGCGTGTCCTCATGCGTGTCCTCATGCGTGTCCTCATGCGTGTCCTCATGCGTGTCCTTATGCGTGTCCTCATGCGTGTCCTCATGCGTGTTCTCATGCGTGTCCTCATGCGTGTCTTAATGCGTGTTTGGACTGAATCAGACCTGCGTGTTCTCATGTGTGATGTCATGCGTGTTCTCATGTGTGATGTCATGCGTGTTCTCATGTGTGTTCGGACTGAATCAGACCTGTGTGTTCTCATGTGTGATGTCATGCGTGTTCTCATGCGTGTTCAGACAGAATCAGACCTGCGCAGGGCTGGACTGGGACAAAAAATCGGCCCAGGCATTTTGGCCCAGACTGGCCCACTATATAACTCAACTGAACTGTGCACGCCCTTGAATATCTATACCAACTCCTATTAAAACCACTAATGCCATAAGTGAATCGGAGTGAGTAAGAGTTAACCGATGAAATAACTACTAAGTTGAACTATACTCCACAGTGATGAATCCTAAAGAAAGCTATAAGCTGTGATCGCAATACCGGTTTTTCCCAGAGGATTTTGGGAAATCTGTGGTGAGTGCACCTCTGTCCCTCTAGGGGGGTTCGGGGGCATGCTTCCCCGTAAGAAAATTTTGTGCTTTTTAATGTTAAATTCATCCATCTGGTGCACTTTGAGAGTTAAAAATAAAGAGCTCCAACCCATATTCAGTGTGCAAATTGAACAAAGAAAAACTCAAAACTCTTTTAGCTGTGATATAGTGTCTGTCTACATTACACTACTACATAATAATAGTTATAATATTAATCCCATGGCAGTAATAGCCATATGTTGTAAAACAAATGCACTGAAAAATAAAAGCAACTTTCATAATTAGTTTCGTACTAATTTCTATACAGAGATAAGCACATGATCTTTTATTTTGACGGAAACGGCATAGAGTTTCCGTCCAACATGGTTTACAAACTCGTCTCATTATAATTCTAATAAAATGCGTAATCGTCCAATATGCAGATGTGTAGATAATGCGTAACTGGGTAGTGGGTTCCTACATAGTCTAAGTGTTGTGACAGTAGCCTAGTTCTGCTTACCACAGTTCTCTGCACTCACTCATCTCTCTCCTTATCCTCCTCTATCCTCATCAGTCACTTGAAGGGCCTTTGAAGTTTCTTTTTTCACGCTATTTCACTGCACATTCATTGCGTTTCTTCTCCATCGCTCTGACTATTTTGACAGATACACACACTGCTCGCTCACTCAGAGCTCAAAGGGGGAGGAGTTTAAAGATGTGATTGGACCAGCCCAGTGTCAATCAAGAAAATAACCAATGGGCTGCTGATCTACGCGTTTCATCATGCGCCGGTCTGTGAGAAAAAGAAAAACCTACGCTGACTTTTTTGTCCAATGCATTACACCGGCACAAAGATCCCAGAGCCACAAATTAAACAAAACTAAACGCAATGGGCCGCCGATGTACGAGTTTTATGGGCCGTTCAGACGAGTAAAAAATTAAGTATGAGATGTAGCCGCCCACAAAGCACGTCGGCCCACCGGGCAAATGCCCGGTATGCCCGATGGCCAGTCCAGCCCTGGACCTGCGTGTCCTCATGCGTGTTCGGACAGAATCAGACCTGTGTGTTCTCATGCGTGTTCTCATGCGTGTTCGGACAGAATCAGACCTGTGTGTTCTCATGCGTGTCCTCATGCGTGTCCTCATGCGTGTCCTCATGCGTGTTCTCATGCGTGTTCGGACAGAATCAGACCTGTGTGTTCTCATGCGTGTCCTCATGCGTGTTCTCATGCGTGTTCGGACAGAATCAGACCTGTGTGTCCTCATGCGTGTCCTCATGCGTGTTCTCATGCGTGTCCTTATGCGTGTTCTCATGCGTCTTCTCATGCGTGTCCTTATGCGTGTCCTTATGCGTGTTCTCATGCGTGTCCTTATGCGTGTCCTTATGCGTGTCCTCATGCGTGTCCTCATGCGTGTTCTCATGCGTGTTCTCATGCGTGTCCTTATGCGTGTCCTCATGCGTGTCCTCATGCGTGTCCTTATGCGTGTTCTCATGCGTGTTCGGACAGAATCAGACCTGTGTGTTCTCATGCGTGTCCTTATGCGTGTCCTTATGCGTGTTCTCATGCGTGTTCGGACAGAATCAGACCTGTGTGTTCTCATGCGTGTTCTCATGCGTGTTCTCATGCGTGTTCGGACAGAATCAGACCAGAGGCTTCAGGCGATAACGCATATTTCTGTACTTGTGGGAACTCAACCCTTGAGTGCTTTTCTCTCTGATGGAATTACTGTAAAGTGCGTGTTAACTTGAGCTTCAACCTTTAAGGAAGTAGTTGAACTATTATTATAATGATGTGGCATGTTGGAATGAGTTTTCCCAGGTCAACTTCATTGTCATTTCTTAAATCCAGTGCCACCCACACTTTCACTGGACTTGACAATCAGGTTCATGGTTCATTCTGATCATCCATCAGCAGTCAGTAGATCTGTTCTTCTTTATGTTTTTTCCAGTTCTTAGCAGAAAGGGTCAAACCGGATTGCAAATATTTATGTGAATCAACCCAAAAATATGCAACACACCTTTAAGAGTCACAGGGTGTTTTTAGACCAGGGCCTGATGTATACTAGTTGCATATTCAAAAAAAAGACATTGAAATGTGTGTAAGCAATTTTCCAGCAGATATCAGGATTTATTAAAAAATAAACTGAGCGTAAATAAGTGTGCACTCCTTTACTGGAGTGAGCGAAGTAATGAAGAAACAGAATGATTTTGTTAATATACACATTTAGATTAAATATTCCACTCTCATTAATGGAGTTAAGGACTGAAATTACATGGTCATTATCCAGAAGTTAAACAACAAATTTCTGAATTTAGATAAATGCGCTGCTTTTGAACACTTTTCCTGTGGCACATAGCATTATTTTAATGTTGTAATGAGAGCTATAGGCCATGCTAATCCCTCTTTAAACTAAACAGAACTGTGATGCACACTTTCGTTCGGTGTTCGAACTGGCATTCTGTGATCTCCATCACAACATCATGAACGAGACCACTGTATTTGAAGCATCAGATTTATAGGAAACAGTCAGATTTGTGACGTTTTATTTTTTAAATGTTTTTTTCAATGAGTCAGACAATTGTATTATCACTGAAAAAAATGCTGATCTGTTTCCATTAAAAATATATAACCATCCTAAAACATGTTTATACTCTAAAAATGCTGGATTGTTTCAACCCAAATTTGGGTCAAATATGGACAAAGCCGCTGGGTTAAATCTTTTAATAAAATGGTTGGGTTATTCCATATTTGACGCAAATGTGGTTTGAAACAATCCAGCATCTTTTAGAGTGACCTTATAGGCAAACATGCTTACATTTTATTTGTTTAAAACCATTAAAAATACTATTTGACCAGTGGAAAGAAATGAGAATAACTCTTCTTCTATTTTATACGATTTTGCTTTTAGGGATGTTTTGATATATTTATTCTAAAACAAAATAAGGATACTAAATGATATTTAGTAATGTAATGTTAAATGACATTTACGTATAGTCTGTATCCTAATATTTTCCTAATGTCTTGTACTCTTAAACATGGTATCATGTGGATGGGAATATGCATATAGTAAAAATGGAAGCTCCATATATGGTTATTTCAGGAGAAAATTGAACTCAAGGAGACAGTTCACCCAAAAAGAAAAATATTGTCATCATTTAAAGATGTTTTGAATTTAAAAACAAAACAAAACTGTATTTTATTGTGTGGATAAAAACACAGAAAAGAAATATTGTCAAAATCCTCTTAAAATGAAAAGATCGCTTTAACATGATTTGCATGCAGGGTGTTTGATTAAATCTGGAACCGGTGGACATCATGGCAGTCCACGAGACACCAGAATGAGGTTAAGAACAGGGGTCTTTAAGGCTATCTTAGATCCTGTTTAATTTCAGCACGTTCCCTTTTTCTCTTACTTTCATTCCTCAAATCCCGTGTTTGCGCTGAGCAAGCAGCTCGAGTTCCTCTGAAGCGCTCCTCTTCGAAAGATGAAGACTCTTGTGCAAGAGTGACCGCTCAGGGTGATCCAGCCCACGGCTCGAGTCAGCACTTCTCCTGGGTGTTCCCGGAGAACAGGGAAGCGAGACGAGGAACCTCTTATCTATTCACAGATTTTGCAATCTTATTTTCAAAAATGTCTGTTTAGTAGTTTTTATTTGTTCTTTTGAACCTTTATTTGCTGCTTGTCTGAACTGACAGTGAAAGATGCAATACATAATGTACAGTATTTCAGTTTTAAAAAGTTTGTAAATTGAGTAAATATTGTGTAAAAGAAGTGTGCATTTAATTCCCACATCTGTATTTAATGAATTTTGTGTATGTCTCATTTTGACATTTTTTTGTATAGAGAATATACACAACATTTTATAAATATATTGAGAATAATCATGTAAATGTTTTTCTGGCCTGGATCAGGGTTGAACTTTGAGTTAGTGTCTCAAACACTGTTGACTTCCAGTAAACATGAGGATCAAAGATCATTAAACATGACTAACAACGCCATAGAAGCCTGAATATTATTTATAGGGTTCTCCAATATTATATACAGGGAAGTCTTAACTCTCTCTGTGTTTCTCTACAGATATGGCTCGGTTGTCCCTTGTTTTTCTGGTCGCTTTACTTCGGGCAACCGAATGTGGCGTAATATCTAATAAGGAACCTTTCGTTTCAGGTAAGAAGTTGCATGAGTTTCCTATTTTAACTTTATACTGGCTGAATGATATACTGGTGCTCGTAATAGACATTCAATTCAATTCAAGCTCGCTGAAGACGTTTGATCATAAACTCTGTGCAGAACAGCATGTGAGAATGTGAATGATGATACGTACATGTGCGTTACGGAGGGTTTAATAAATAATATATCAATATCTAAAGAAGTAACATAATAATCTAGACTGGATTTGAGTTTTATAATCTAGAATTTCCCTCACAGCTAAAGGATGAAATTCACCATGAATGTTTCTGAACTGACTATATAAAACATCTGTTGAAATCTGCTCAAATTAATTTAGAAACACAAAGTTGTAGAAAAAACATAATTATTATTATTATTATTATTTTTTTTTTAAGATCTATATAAGTATATAAGCTATTTTTAAGTTTAAGTTTTTTGTCTTGTTTATTTAGTTTCAGTTACTTTAGTACCTAACCTAAACCGAAAGAGAAATGTTGCTTTGGCAACTAGCTACTTTTTTAAGTAAATATATAAAAACAAAAATAACTCTACTTGAGGCAGAAACTGTGACGCTGGTGCAGATGAGCCTCACACGCGACTACGAGATGCAACATATCAATCAAAAACCACAGCGAATCAGAACAGCGCGTGGGCGGAGTCTCGCAGCAAGTGCACGGCACCAGAGAGTAATCTTGACAAGGAAATGGGATTACGTACATAATCAAATTCACAATATTACACTATTTAAACATTATTAAAAATACATACTGAGTTACTAAAACAATCTTTGTCATAGAATAGGCATTTCTGAGGACCAGAGATCTCCAAAAGGGGGCGGGGTCTCCACACAAAAAGACTTGCGCCATTGGTTCTGGCCAATTGTCATTAAATTACATTTTAAAAATAAAAATTCGTAAATCACACATCGTTTCTAGTTGATCTAAAATAAAACGTTATTTGTACACGTGGCGAAGTTGTACTCTATTGCTTTGTTAGCAGTGGTTTAAAGGGTTAGTTCGCCCATTTAAGACATGAAGTTGTATGCAATCCTTCCCAGCACTATAGTGCACACACACTGACCCACTCTGCTGTCACCTCCCTGGTCAGAGTTCTGGCCGCTGGAAGTTTTTCAAGAAAGTACTCCCGGTTATTTTCCGGGGCCTCAAAACTGTGCGTTTTTACGTGAAAAAATGATTTGCGTTTCAAAGCTTGATTAATTTACCACAGAAAAAACACGCCAGACAAAATTCATACCTCAGTTTTAATCGGCACTATTTTCTATCCATTTCTATCAATCCGCGCTGCTGTCAACGTCAACAGTGCGCACGTTCCGATCAGCTGTTGATAGAGCGACTCGCTGAAAACTGTCTGACTGCGAGTGCAGAACGCCGTTAGTCATGGCTTAAAGGGAGCGCTATTGACAATCTAAATAATAGTTTTGTTTGACTTCGGCAGCTGGTTTAGTCCAGAAATGCGCAGTTCTTTGGCAGTCGGGTCTGTTCGAGGTCGGATCACGTTCTCGCCACAAACGAACCGCACCAGAGTTCGCTTGAAAGTGTTTGGTCCGCTTTTGGTGCGCCCCCGAGTGCGATCGCTGCATTCACACCGGCCCAAACGAACCGCACCAGAGTTCGCTTGAAAGTGTTTGGTCCGCTTTTGGTGTGCCCCTGAGTGCGATCGCTGCATTCACACCGGCCCAAACGAACCGCACCAGAGTTCGCTTGAAAGTGTTTGGTCCGCTTTTGGTGTGCCCCTGAGTGCGATCGCTGCATTCACACCGGCCCAAACGAACCGCACCAGAGTTCGCTTGAAAGTGTTTGGTCCGCTTTTGGTGCGCCCCCGAGTGCAATCGCTGCATTCACAATGGCCCAAACGAACCGCTCCAGAGTTCGCTTGAAAGTGTTTGGTCCGCTTTTGGTGTGCCCCTGAGTGCGATCGCTGCATTCACACCGGCCCAAACGAACCGCACCAGAGTTCGCTTGAAAGTGTTTGGTCCGCTTTTGGTGCGCCCCCGAGTGCGATCGCTGCATTCACACCGGCCCAAACGAACCGCACCAGAGTTCGCTTGAAAGTGTTTGGTCCGCTTTTGGTGTGCCCCTGAGTGCGATCGCTGCATTCACAATGGCCCAAACGAACCGCTCCAGAGTTCGCTTGAAAGTGTTTGGTCCGCTTTTGGTGTGCCCCTGAGTGCGATCGCTGCATTCACACCGGCCCAAACGAACCGCACCAGAGTTCGCTTGAAAGTGTTTGGTCCGCTTTTGGTGCGCCCCCGAGTGCGATCGCTGCATTCACACCGGCCCAAACGAACCGCACCAGAGTTCGCTTGAAAGTGTTTGGTCCGCTTTTGGTGCGCCCCCGAGTGTGATCGCTGCATTCACACCGGCCCAAACGAACCGCACCAGAGTTCGCTTGAAAGTGTTTGGTCCGCTTTTGGTGCGCCCCCGAGTGCAATCGCTGCATTCACACCGGCCCAAACGAACCGCACCAGAGTTCGCTTGAAAGTGTTTGGTCCGCTTTTGGTGCGCCCCCGAGTGCAATCGCTGCATTCACAATGGCCCAAACGAACCGCACCAGAGTTCGCTTGAAAGTGTTTGGTCCGCTTTTGGTGCGCCCCCGAGTGCGATCGCTGCATTCACATTGGCCCAAACGAACTGCACCAGAGTTCGCTTGAAAGTGTTTGGTGCGCCCCCGAGTGCGATCGCTGCATTCACACCGGCCCAAACGAACCGCACCAGAGTTCGCTTGAAAGTGTTTGGTCCGCTTTTGGTGCGCCCCCGAGTGCAATCGCTGCATTCACAATGGCCCAAACGAACCGCACCAGAGTTCGCTTGAAAGTGTTTGGTCCGCTTTTGGTGCGCCCCCGAGTGCGATCGCTGCATTCACATTGGCCCAAACGAACCGCACCAGAGTTCGCTTGAAAGTGTTTGGTCCGCTTTTGGTGCGCCCCCGAGTGCAATCGCTGCATTCACAATGGCCCAAACGAACCGCACCAGAGTTCGCTTGAAAGTGTTTGGTCCGCTTTTGGTGCGCCCCCGAGTGCGATCGCTGCATTCACATTGGCCCAAACGAACTGCACCAGAGTTCGCTTGAAAGTGTTTGGTGCGCCCCCGAGTGCGATCGCTGCATTCACACCGGCCCAAACGAACCGCACCAGAGTTCGCTTGAAAGTGTTTGGTCCGCTTTTGGTGCGCCCCCGAGTGCAATCGCTGCATTCACAATGGCCCAAACGAACCGCACCAGAGTTCGCTTGAAAGTGTTTGGTCCGCTTTTGGTGCGCCCCCGAGTGCGATCGCTGCATTCACATTGGCCCAAACGAACTGCACCAGAGTTCGCTTGAAAGTGTTTGGTGCGCCCCCGAGTGCGATCGCTGCATTCACACCGGCCCAAACGAACCGCACCAGAGTTCGCTTGAAAGTGTTTGGTCCGCTTTTGGTGCGCCCCCGAGTGCGATCGCTGCATTCACACCGGCCCAAACGAACCGCACCAGAGTTCGCTTGAAAGTGTTTGGTGCGCCCCCGAGTGCGATCGCTGCATTCACACCGGCCCAAACGAACCGCACCAGAGTTCGCTTGAAAGTGTTTGGTCCGCTTTTGGTGTGCCCCCGAGTGCGATCGCTGCATTCACACTGGCCCAAACGAACCGCACCAGAGTTCGCTTGAAAGTGTTTGGTCCGCTTTTGGTGCGCCCCCGAGTGCGATCGCTGCATTCACAATGGCCCAAACGAACCGCTCCAGAGTTCGCTTGAAAGTGTTTGGTCCGCTTTTGGTGCGCCCCCGAGTGCGATCGCTGCATTCACAATGGCCCAAACGAACCGCACCAGAGTTCGCTTGAAAGTGTTTGGTCCGCTTTTGGTGCGCCCCCGAGTGCAATCGCTGCATTCACACCGGCCCAAACGAACCGCACCAGAGTTTGCTTGAAAGTGTTTGGTCCGCTTTTGGTGCGCCCCCGAGTGCAATCGCTGCATTCACACCGGCCCAAACGAACCGCACCAGAGTTTGCTTGAAAGTGTTTGGTCCGCTTTTGGTGCGCCGCCGAGTGCAATCGCTGCATTCACAATGGCCCAAACGAAGCGCACCAGAGTTCGCTTGAAAGTGTTTGGTCCGCTTTTGGTGCGCCCCCGAGTGCGATCGCTGCATTCACACCGGCCCAAACGAACCGCACCAGAGTTCGCTTGAAAGTGTTTGGTGCGCCCCCGAGTACAATCGCTGCATTCACACCGGCCCAAACGAACCGCACCAGAGTTCGCTTGAAAGTGTTTGGTCCGCTTTTGGTGCGCCCCCGAGTGCGATCGCTGCATTCACACCGGCCCAAACGAACCGCACCAGAGTTCGCTTGAAAGTGTTTGGTCCGCTTTTGGTGTGCCCCCGAGTGCGATCGCTGCATTCACACCGGCCCAAACGAACCGCACCAGAGTTCGCTTGAAAGTGTTTGGTCCGCTTTTGGTGCGCCCCCGAGTGCGATCGCTGCATTCACACCGGCCCAAACGAACCGCACCAGAGTTCGCTTGAAAGTGTTTGGTCCGCTTTTGGTGCGCCCCCGAGTGCGATCGCTGCATTCACACCAGCCCAAACGAACCGCACCAGAGTTCGCTTGAAAGTGTTTGGTCCGCTTTTGGTGCGCCCCCGAGTGCGATCGCTGCATTCACAATGGCCCAAACGAACCGCACCAGAGTTCGCTTGAAAGTGTTTGGTCCACTTTTGGTGCGCCCCCGAGTGCGATCGCTGCATTCACACCGGCCCAAACGAACCACACCAGAGTTCGCTTGAAAGTGTTTGGTGCGCCCCCGAGTGCGATCGCTGCATTCACACCGGCCCAAACAAACCACACCAGAGTTCGCTTGAAAGTGTTTGGTCCGCTTTTGGTGCGCCCCTGAGTGCGATCGCTGCATTCACAATGGCCCAGTCGAACCGCACCAGAGTTCGCTTGAAAGTGTTTGGTCCGCTTTTGGTGCGCCGCCGAGTGCGATCGCTGCATTCACAATGGCCCAAACGAACCGCACCAGAGTTCGCTTGAAAGTGTTTGGTCCGCTTTTGGTGCGCCCCCTGCATTCACACCGGCCCAAACGAACTGCTCCAGAGTTCGCTTGAAAGTGTTTGGTCCGCTTTTGGTGCGCCCCCGAGTGCGATCGCTGCATTCACACCGGCCCAAACGAACCGCACCAGAGTTCGCTTGAAAGTGTTTGGTCCGCTTTTGGTGCGCCCCCGAGTGCGATCGCTGCATTCACACCGGCCCAAACGAACCGCTCCAGAGTTCGCTTGAAAGTGTTTGGTCCGCTTTTGGTGCGCCCCCGAGTGCGATCGCTGCATTCACACCGGCCCAAACGAACCGCACCAAGGGGAACCAACTCTAGTGCGATTCAACCGGACTAACTGAGGCAGGTGTGAAAGCACCCTTACAGTCACATTACACATTTTTTACATTAAATAAAGCACATAAACATTTACATTTAAATTTACATTTAATCATTTAGCAGACGCTTTTAACCAAAGCGACTTACAAATGAGGAGAGCAACAGAAGCAATTAAACTAACAATAAGACAACAACATCCAGCGTTACCTGAGATTACCATTGCCATACTTTGTGTTGTTGTTGTTCCAGCCGCGCCGTTGCAGAAAAATAGAAATCGTTTCTAAAATAGAATCGTCGCGGTTGGTTACTTAAGACAAAAACTCTGGTTCATATGGGAAAGATTCCTTTCTGGCGTGTCGTCTGGTTAGGACTCGGTGTCATTGTGTGATTTTGTGCCATTGTGTGTTTTGTCTTGTTCACTAACGTCTTCATCATGTGCTCTTCTACAGAATCCTGCAGGAACTTCGGACTGGCGTTTGAGCGCATGTTTGCGGTCCCCGGGGAGTCTCCGCTGTTGGAGTGTCCGCTGCACATCCAGGCTCTGTTCGATCCTGCGGAGACGCCGTATAACGTGACGTGGGTAGAGGAGAGAACGGGCTCGGAGATCTCAGCCGGGCCGAACGTCTCGCTCTCAGGAACATCTCTGTGGTTCCCTAACATCAGCCTGCAGAGCCAGGGAACATACGTGTGTGTGCTCAGGTACGAACGCCTTCCTCGGGGGTTTTAAAGTAATTCTACATGTTTAATGATAATGCATCATAGGAGGCACCAAGCCATTTCACTGCCAGTAAGTGTTTTCTTCATAGTAGGCATGCGTTGAAACTATCTGTATCGTGTAAAGCGCTATATAAATAAAGGTGACTTGACTTCTTTTCATTGGCAAAATAGTTCAAAAACAGCCAATATTGTGTCTAAAATGTAACCCACTGTATTAACTTCTTGTCTGTTGAACTGCAATCGTGCTTATATTCAGAAGAACAGCACGCTTGATCATGTGATAATGCCTAACTACAGCATTTATATAAATATAAGACAAACTCATACAGGGGATTTGTGTCCACATATATTGATTTGGGGGTAACGGCATTAAAATAGGCTACCGGATGAGCTTTATCGTCACGTGCACCTGGGGCCTCATTTATAACCGTTGCGTACGCACAAAACAGGCCCTGAAAGAGGCGTACGCCACTTCCGACGCATAAGTTGTGATTTATAAAAACAAACTTGACGGAAAAATGTGCGCACCTGCACGCAAACTCTGACCCATGCGTACGAGCGTTTTGGAGACGGAGCAGTTTGGCGACACCGATGGTGAGCTGGAGTTAAATGTCTTTTTGGTCACTTTTAGACAGAAAATCTAAAGAAAATTATACATAGGCTATACAGAAAGATAATACAAATATAATTTCACTCACCAAGCATATCACTTGAGGCAAATATTCATCCCTTCTTAAATGTCCGTGCCAGCGAGCGCTTTGTGCCGTTTAGTGAAACTAACGCCTATCTAACGACAGAGTCCTAATCATAAAAACAGTGCATGTTCACAATAACAGTTTAAATGGTAAATGGACTGCATTTATATAGCGCTTTCACAGACCCAATGGCCACCAAAGCGCTTTACAATTTGCCTCACATTCACCCATTCACACACTCATTCATACACCGACGGGCGACGTTAAATAAATAAAAGAATGATTTAAACTGTTTTACTTCTGATATAAACATTTAGATTAAATATGCCATTGTCATTGATGGAGTTAAACACTTAAACATGAAATCATTACTGAGAAGTTACAACATTTTTTATATTCAATAAATATAAATATTTGTTGTGGATGCAATGCTTTTGAACACTTTTCCTCTGGCATGCTGTCTGTGTTTTAATATTTTAACTAAAGAGATAATTGCTTATAGCAGATTGTCTGAGAAAATAGTTTTGTGCAAATAATGCACAACAGTCTATCTGTTTCCATTAAAAATATAAATCAATAAAAAATACTATTTGGTCAGTGGAAAAGATTGTGAAAACTTTCTCTGAAATGTATTTTACACTATTTGATTTATTTATTCAAAAACAAGGCAAGGATAGGCTACTAAATTACTTTTATTAATATAGGCTAATGTGACGGCACATCCGTATTAGGCTATTTCATATTTTCCTAATGTCTTGTACCGTTAAACATGTTATCACGTGGATGAATAATCATATGCAAATGATATGCAGATGAGGATATGCATAGTAAAACTAGGCGTTGTAAGCTCCATATATGGTTATTTCGGGGAGGAGACGCGTGTGCGCACAATCTTCCGCTGACTGAGATTTATCGGGATTTATAAAGTGAATTCTGCGCAGGTTCTGGCGTATGCAAATATTCAGATATAAATCTGAATATTTTTTTGCGTACGCCATTTTTGGCTTTCGGGCGCACGTACACTTTTAGTAAGGATCCTACGCTCAGTTTTATAAATGAGGCCCTGGTCTAGTAGTGAAAGGGTTTTCTGAGAGCGCTTCAGCAGAGGATGTGGTGAACCTGAACTCGGGGTGATGGGCTTCCCACGCAACAGAAAGATATAAGACGTGTCATTCTGCTTGAAGAGCTAGAGCTATTTCCAACGCCAGAGCGGCGAGATGTTTTCCACTGCGCTTGTGTTCGAGAGACTCACTCTGTTGACCCAAGAAATAAATGGATGGAAAGATCAGGATGGTGAGAAGAGCAAACCAGAGTCGTGTAGAGCAGATGTTGACCTTTAGACAACACACACACACACACACACACTTACTGTCAGCCCAGGAAACATGCTGATTTGCATAATGGTGAATGGAGAATAAAAGTGTAAGTGGTGCTTCGCTGTTCTTCTGTGTAAAGCAGAGATGGGATACGCTGGAGGCTCTTGTTTATAGGACTCGAGTGACGTCACGATCCGGGAAACACTAATTCACTGCTGGTTCTTTGCGGTTTTTAAAATAAAGACTAAACATATCTTGACGATACTTTTACATTTTGTTCTACAACCTACACTGCACACACTCACACCCCAAACTGCCTTGTCTAGTTAAAAAAAAAAATTGAAGTGTAAATATTAGTATGAAGTATGAACATAAGAAGATTCAACAACTGAAACATAAGCTAAACAAATTTCACATTAGATGAACAGAAATATAATAATGAGTCCGTGAACAAGATCTAACAAGTTCCTTCTAACTTTTCCCCGTGCGTCTCAAGCTGAAGGGTGGTGTGCTTACTTATTTCTTATTTATTTCTTATTTTGTTTATTTTTTTATACAGTTTTATATTGTTAATATTTTGTTAATGTTTTGTTTATATATTGTTAATGAGTTTAATTATTTATTGTTGTTTCATTTGTTTATTTTTATATTATTTATTTATAATTATTTACATTTGATTTATTTTTGCTTTTTTTATTTACATATAATAATTTTATTTGTTAATTTAATCATTTTATTTATTACTTTTTTGTTTGCTTAATATTTATTTATTGTTGTATCATTATTTTATTTTTTTATAGTTATTTAAATTTTATTTAATTGTTTTATTACTTTATTTATTTACATATTATTATTATTATTATTATTATTATTTTATTAGTTTTTTTGTTTGTTTATTTATACATTTTATATTATTGAGTTTTGTACTGAGTTGTTTATTTATTTATTGTCATTGTTTCATGTGTTTTTTTATTTTTATATGATTTCTTTTCCTACCTATTTTCTTTTGCGTACATTAATACATCCAGTTCATCTTTTGAAGACATCCGGTGTAATGTGACTCCAGTTCCCCTCGATGATCTTTAACTGGTGTCACTGATAACAACTGGCAAAATAAAAGATCAACAAATAATGCTCTAGATAAAGGAATGAGCTTAAACTTAAACACAGTGTGTGTGTGTGTGTGTGTGTGTGTGTGTGTGTGTGAGTTAGTGTGTGTGTGTGTGTGTGTGTGAGTGAGAGAGGCTGCGATTCAGTTAAATAAATATGGCTGTTTTTCCCACAGAGAATCAGGACGCTTTCATTATTTGCATGCGTGCAGAACATGTTCAAGTCCCTCAGCTCGTTCACGATGAAGCGGCTCACACACACTCGGTCTCTGCATGTGATGTGTGTTTAGGTTTCCCAATAATGTGCATTTGAGAACACAAAAGTCGTACACGGTTTGTGTTTCATAGTGGCACTGTTATCATTTATGCGTGGAGCGTCTCGGGTTTCTCATGCTGTGTGTGTGTGTGTGTGTGTGTTGCATATAACGTTCATCTGGGAACGCAGTGTGCGCCATTTCACAATATTTGTGACGTAACTCATTTGTAAATCTACGCCAGCACAGGGGAATACATAAATATGTTTCTAAATATGTGGATTGTTGTTCAATCGCGATTTTAAAATAAAAGTTTAACCCCTCGCTCTGAGTTTGCATGTTTTGATGTGCACATGTTCTTTTTTAAGAAATTACAGCGGCTGTTGCATTTCTATTGTACAAAAGTGACCAAATATTAAAGATTAAGTGGACATAGAATAGATTTAGTCAATAACAAGGATTTGGTCAGCAATCACCTGGCGCCTCTGCGGGCATCTGTTATACATTGTTTTATAAGTTATGTTTATATTAGTTTATATAATTTTTTTAATGGTGTATTTTAACAGTGTTGTTTAATACAATTATTGCTTATTATACAGTATATTTGTATTCTAAAGGCTGTTGTTCACTTGGATCTATCTCTATTACCACATTTTTATCCGATTACTCGATTTATCGATGGATTAATCGGTAGAATACTCTATTACTAAAATAATTAATAGCTACAGCTTTTGCTTTAAAAAAGGATTTCATAGAAATTTGGATTTCATTTGTAGTTTCACTTCTGTCCATTGTTTTCATCTAGCTGTGATGAACAGAAGCCCAGAACATCTGGATATATTGACATTCAGAACATGCTGACTTTCTCAGACTTTTGTTGTTATTATTATTTATTTTTATTTATTTTTTTGTTATGTTTGTTTACAATTTTTTACTTTTGTACATTTTTACTCTTTTAGCTTTACATTTTGTTAAGGGTTTGTTTACATTTAAAGTAAACCTCTGAATAACCAGAAAGACTAACATTAGCTATTTAGATTTAAATCGCTAATGTTGGCTAAATTTTAATCGCTAAATCGACATTGGATTTATGGGAAGGGTTCACGGGTCTGCCTGACCTAATCTATGCAGCCTAGTAATCATTTAACTGATTTGAATATTAGAAATGTATAATGTATTATGTGTATGCCAGGTAAAAGAGATGTGTTTTTAGTCTAGCTTTGAACTGAATGAGTGTGTCTGCTTCCCGGACAGTGGTAGGAAGACTGTTCCAAAGTTTTGGTGGTAAATAGGAAAAGGATCTACCGCCAGCAGTCGATTTAGATATTCTAGGTATTATCAACTGGCCGGAGTTTTGAGATCGCAATAGACGTGAAGGACTATAATGCGTTAAGAGCTCGCTCAAGTACTGGGAGCTAAACCATTTAGTGCTTTGTAAGTAATCCAGAGGCTTCGTTATCTACATGTATATTAAAATTACCAACAATTAGGACTGAATCTGCAGCCAGTATTAACTCCAAAAAAAATCAGCAAATTCTTTGATAAAGTCTGTATGGTGCCCTGGTTGCCTGTACAAATGTCAAGCGGGATTTATCATTTAAACTAGAAAGTGTTGGTGCTTAATGTAACACTATCTAGTGTAAGTCAGTGCTGTAGACCAGTGGTTCCCAAACCTGTCCTGGCGACCCACCAACACTGCATGTTTTCTTTGTCTCCCTAATCAAACACACCTGATTCAACTCATCAGCTCGAAAACGTGCAGTGTTGGTGGGTCGCCAGGACAGGTTTGGGAACCACTGCTATAGACAGTCTCATTATAAACACCTGTGTGTCGTCTTCAGGACTCAGAGTCAGTGCTATAGACAGTCTCATTATAAACACCTGTGTGTCGTCTTCAGGACTCAGAGTCAGTGCTATAGACAGTCTCATTATAAACACCTGTGTGTCGTCCTCAGGACTCAGAGTCAGTGCTATAGACAGTCTCATTATAAACGCCTGTGTGTCGTCTTCAGGACTCAGAGTCACTGCTATAGACAGTCTCATTATAAACACCTGTGTGTCATCTTCAGGACTCAGAGTCAGTGCTATAGACAGTCTCATTATAAACACCTGTGTGTCGTCTTCAGGACTCAGAGTCACTGCTATAGACAGTCTCATTATAAACACCTGTGTGTCGTCCTCAGGACTCAGAGTCACTGCTATAGACAGTCTCATTATAAACACCTGTGTGTCATCCTCAGGACTCAGAGTCAGTGCTATAGACAGTCTCATTATAAACGCCTGTGTGTCGTCCTCAGGACTCAGAGTCAGTGCTATAGACAGTCTCATTATAAACACCTGTGTGTCGTCCTCAGGACTCAGAGTCAGTGCTATAGACAGTCTCATTATAAACGCCTGTGTGTCGTCCTCAGGACTCAGAGTCACTGCTATAGACAGTCTCATTATAAACGCCTGTGTGTCGTCCTCAGGACTCAGAGTCACTGCTATAGACAGTCTCATTATAAACGCCTGTGTGTCGTCTTCAGGACTCAGAGTCACTGCTATAGACAGTCTCATTATAAACACCTGTGTGTCGTCCTCAGGACTCAGAGTCAGTGCTATAGACAGTCTCATTATAAACGCCTGTGTGTCGTCCTCAGGACTCAGAGTCAGTGCTATAGACAGTCTCATTATAAACACCTGTGTGTCGTCCTCAGGACTCAGAGTCAGTGCTATAGACAGTCTCATTATAAACACCTGTGTGTCGTCCTCAGGACTCAGAGTCAGTGCTATAGACAGTCTCATTATAAACACCTGTGTGTCGTCCTCAGGACTCAGAGTCAGTGCTATAGACAGTCTCATTATAAACACCTGTGTGTCGTCTTCAGGACTCAGAGTCAGTGCTATAGACAGTCTCATTATAAACACCTGTGTGTCGTCCTCAGGACTCAGAGTCAGTGCTATAGACAGTCTCATTATAAACACCTGTGTGTCGTCTTCAGGACTCAGAGTCACTGCTATAGACAGTCTCATTATAAACGCCTGTGTGTCGTCTTCAGGACTCAGAGTCAGTGCTATAGACAGTCTCATTATAAACACCTGTGTGTCGTCCTCAGGACTCAGAGTCAGTGCTATAGACAGTCTCATTATAAACACCTGTGTGTCGTCCTCAGGACTCAGAGTCAGTGCTATAGACAGTCTCATTATAAACACCTGTGTGTCGTCCTCAGGACTCAGAGTCAGTGCTATAGACAGTCTCATTATAAACACCTGTGTGTCGTCCTCAGGACTCAGAGTCAGTGCTATAGACAGTCTCATTATAAACGCCTGTGTGTCGTCTTCAGGACTCAGAGTCACTGCTATAGACAGTCTCATTATAAACGCCTGTGTGTCGTCTTCAGGACTCAGAGTCAGTGCTATAGACAGTCTCATTATAAACGCCTGTGTGTCGTCTTCAGGACTCAGAGTCAGTGCTATAGACAGTCTCATTATAAACACCTGTGTGTCGTCCTCAGGACTCAGAGTCAGTGCTATAGACAGTCTCATTATAAACACCTGTGTGTCGTCCTCAGGACTCAGAGTCAGTGCTATAGACAGTCTCATTATAAACACCTGTGTGTCGTCCTCAGGACTCAGAGTCAGTGCTATAGACAGTCTCATTATAAACGCCTGTGTGTCGTCTTCAGGACTCAGAGTCACTGCTATAGACAGTCTCATTATAAACGCCTGTGTGTCGTCTTCAGGACTCAGAGTCAGTGCTATAGACAGTCTCATTATAAACACCTGTGTGTCGTCCTCAGGACTCAGAGTCACTGCTATAGACAGTCTCATTATAAACACCTGTGTGTCGTCCTCAGGACTCAGAGTCACTGCTATAGACAGTCTCATTATAAACGCCTGTGTGTCGTCTTCAGGACTCAGAGTCAGTGCTATAGACAGTCTCATTATAAACACCTGTGTGTCGTCCTCAGGACTCAGAGTCAGTGCTATAGACAGTCTCATTATAAACACCTGTGTGTCGTCCTCAGGACTCAGAGTCAGTGCTATAGACAGTCTCATTATAAACGCCTGTGTGTCGTCTTCAGGACTCAGAGTCAGTGCTATAGACAGTCTCATTATAAACACCTGTGTGTCGTCTTCAGGACTCAGAGTCAGTGCTATAGACAGTCTCATTATAAACACCTGTGTGTCGTCCTCAGGACTCAGAGTCAGTGCTATAGACAGTCTCATTATAAACGCCTGTGTGTCGTCTTCAGGACTCAGAGTCACTGCTATAGACAGTCTCATTATAAACGCCTGTGTGTCGTCTTCAGGACTCAGAGTCAGTGCTATAGACAGTCTCATTATAAACACCTGTGTGTCGTCCTCAGGACTCAGAGTCAGTGCTATAGACAGTCTCATTATAAACGCCTGTGTGTCGTCTTCAGGACTCAGAGTCACTGCTATAGACAGTCTCATTATAAACGCCTGTGTGTCGTCTTCAGGACTCAGAGTCAGTGCTATAGACAGTCTCATTATAAACACCTGTGTGTCGTCCTCAGGACTCAGAGTCACTGCTATAGACAGTCTCATTATAAACACCTGTGTGTCGTCCTCAGGACTCAGAGTCACTGCTATAGACAGTCTCATTATAAACGCCTGTGTGTCGTCTTCAGGACTCAGAGTCAGTGCTATAGACAGTCTCATTATAAACACCTGTGTGTCGTCTTCAGGACTCAGAGTCACTGCTATAGACAGTCTCATTATAAACACCTGTGTGTCGTCCTCAGGACTCAGAGTCAGTGCTATAGACAGTCTCATTATAAACACCTGTGTGTCGTCTTCAGGACTCAGAGTCACTGCTATAGACAGTCTCATTATAAACACCTGTGTGTCGTCTTCAGGACTCAGAGTCAGTGCTATAGACAGTCTCATTATAAACGCCTGTGTGTCGTCTTCAGGACTCAGAGTCAGTGCTATAGACAGTCTCATTATAAACACCTGTGTGTCGTCCTCAGGACTCAGAGTCAGTGCTATAGACAGTCTCATTATAAACACCTGTGTGTCGTCCTCAGGACTCAGAGTCAGTGCTATAGACAGTCTCATTATAAACGCCTGTGTGTCGTCTTCAGGACTCAGAGTCAGTGCTATAGACAGTCTCATTATAAACACCTGTGTGTCGTCTTCAGGACTCAGAGTCAGTGCTATAGACAGTCTCATTATAAACACCTGTGTGTCGTCCTCAGGACTCAGAGTCAGTGCTATAGACAGTCTCATTATAAACGCCTGTGTGTCGTCTTCAGGACTCAGTCACTGCTATAGACAGTCTCATTATAAACACCTGTGTGTCGTCTTCAGGACTCAGAGTCAGTGCTATAGACAGTCTCATTATAAACGCCTGTGTGTCGTCTTCAGGACTCAGAGTCAGTGCTATAGACAGTCTCATTATAAACACCTGTGTGTCGTCCTCAGGACTCAGAGTCAGTGCTATAGACAGTCTCATTATAAACGCCTGTGTGTCGTCCTCAGGACTCAGAGTCAGTGCTATAGACAGTCTCATTATAAACGCCTGTGTGTCGTCCTCAGGACTCAGAGTCAGTGCTATAGACAGTCTCATTATAAACACCTGTGTGTCGTCTTCAGGACTCAGAGTCAGTGCTATAGACAGTCTCATTATAAACACCTGTGTGTCGTCCTCAGGACTCAGAGTCAGTGCTATAGACAGTCTCATTATAAACACCTGTGTGTCGTCCTCAGGACTCAGAGTCAGTGCTATAGACAGTCTCATTATAAACACCTGTGTGTCGTCTTCAGGACTCAGAGTCAGTGCTATAGACAGTCTCATTATAAACACCTGTGTGTCGTCTTCAGGACTCAGAGTCACTGCTATAGACAGTCTCATTATAAACGCCTGTGTGTCGTCTTCAGGACTCAGAGTCAGTGCTATAGACAGTCTCATTATAAACACCTGTGTGTCGTCCTCAGGACTCAGAGTCAGTGCTATAGACAGTCTCATTATAAACACCTGTGTGTCGTCCTCAGGACTCAGTCAGTGCTATAGACAGTCTCATTATAAACACCTGTGTGTCGTCCTCAGGACTCAGAGTCAGTGCTATAGACAGTCTCATTATAAACACATGTGTGTCGTCCTCAGGACTCAGTCAGTGCTATAGACAGTCTCATTATAAACACCTGTGTGTCGTCCTCAGGACTCAGAGTCAGTGCTATAGACAGTCTCATTATAAACACCTGTGTGTCGTCCTCAGGACTCAGAGTCAGTGCTATAGACAGTCTCATTATAAACACCTGTGTGTCGTCCTCAGGACTCAGTCAGTGCTATAGACAGTCTCATTATAAACACCTGTGTGTCGTCCTCAGGACTCAGAGTCAGTGCTATAGACAGTCTCATTATAAACACATGTGTGTCGTCCTCAGGACTCAGAGTCACTGCTATAGACAGTCTCATTATAAACACCTGTGTGTCGTCCTCAGGACTCAGAGTCAGTGCTATAGACAGTCTCATTATAAACACCTGTGTGTCGTCTTCAGGACTCAGAGTCAGTGCTATAGACAGTCTCATTATAAACACCTGTGTGTCGTCTTCAGGACTCAGAGTCAGTGCTATAGACAGGCCGCAGTGCTGGTGGTGAGCGAGATGACGTCTGGAGACTGTGAGCGACCGGTGAGGGGACTTCAGTGGATCAGTGCCGGTGTGAACGATGTCCTCGCCTGTCCTCTGAAGAGATACATCAGGAGTGTGGATCATCCCTCCATCCAGTGGTACAAGGTACAAACACATCATCATCTCCATACGGGATCAGGTCGCTGTCGAGGCCTTGAATGAATAACAGTTCTGCCATTAATTACTCGCCTCTAATGTTGTTTTTCTGTTGAACAGAAACAAGATATTCATATTTCCCTTGACCTCTAGATTATATTAGTTTTAATGACATTTTTTCATGTCCGAATATTTTTTTAGGTCTAATGTGTGTGTTTGAACTGTATATAAAGTTTCCATCCATTTGGATCACACAGTCTTAACAAACAAACTCTATGTGATGCATGTCAGTCAGTCATAATTAAAACCGGTAAAAAAACGGTAATTTATGAAAATGTTGTTTCAGTGAATATTGCTTGTTCCACACTTAGCCATATTTAGCCATGTTCATACTTTTTAACCTGAATAGAATATTCAGTTAAAAAGAAAAGATTATTATTGAAATAAAACCGCACCGGCGGGAGAACCGGAGAACTGGAGGAACAGATAACGTGATGGATTGAGACGAGAGAGAGAGGAGAAAACTAAACTGGCTCTAATAAGAAATAAATAGGGGAACTAATGGGGACGGTTAACTGATGACCGTTGTTTTTAAGTGTTGATGTTTTTTAATGTGTACTTATGTCTTTGTGTTAAGGCGCTAGCAACGCCAAGATTATGGGTTTAATTCCCAGCAGAATTCTGATTAAACATTTACACCATCAATGCAGCATACATGCCAAATAGTGTTAATTGATTAATGAAAACTATGATGATAAAATGTTCGTCGACTACCTTTTTTTTTAGACGAGATGATGACGAGACGACACTGTTCATTAACGATAACTGTGACTATATCAACATGCAATATTGTTGATGAAAAGACAAGAGTAAAATATAGTAAAAAAAAAAAACTTTACCAAAATCAATTTTTTTTCAGCGGAAAATAGACTAAATATTACTGACCGTTTTTAACAGGCCACTACGAGCTTGCGTTTGCCAGATGTCAGGAGCTTAAATCCCCAATCAGAGCTTTTCTGTTAAAAGGAAACTGTAATAAATTAGCCTGGTTAAAACCAGAGCATTCTCAGTTGTAACTGAGTTATGGTCTGGCAAAGCGTCATAGACGAATCATTTCCAGAGGGGTGTCACCAACGGACGTCGTGGATAGACCTAAACCAATCAGAGCGATGAAGGAGATGACGTATGCAGAGCGGCGGAGACACATCTCCGAGTGTTGTTCTTTGCTCGGTTTTTAACTAAAAGGAAACGTTCAAATGGCTTAAAACAGACGCGATAGCTGATTGGAACGAGTGATGTTCGACGGCGGCGTCCATCTTTGTAATGTAGGCTACAAAATCTGCTTCAAAATCCCAGCGCTGTCGTCATCGTGTAAAGCCCGCCCCAACGTTTCTGATTGGTGCCTCGATTTCGACGGATTGGAAATGGGTTTGAATGAGCTCTTTGCCAGACTAACTTTCAGAGCAAATCTAAATTTGCCGGAAGTTGTCTGGGTTTTCCCAGGCTAGTAATAAATCCAAACATGATCTCGACTATATTATAATAATAAATGCACTTACGCAACCTCTGCGTGGAATTCTGTGGAATTTCAGTGTTTTCATTTTTGAGGGAAGTTTCTTGTTTTATCAGTTTTCAAAATGTAAAGAGTGTGTTTATTTTTATGACAAATAGCCTACACTAGATGGGGTAAAATAAATAAATGCCTAGGAGTCGACATTTTCTTGATTAGTGCTTATGTGAAAGTGCAATAATTATGATGAAATTCTAAAATGACTACAGTCGTGATTATAATTGAGAAAAATAAATGTGATTATCAATTTAACCAGCATAATGCAGCATGACGAAAATGAAAAAAGTTTACGTTGAATAAAATTAGACTAAAATTCCCAGACGTTTAGTCAACTTAAACTTGACTAGACAAAAACAGGACAAGGCTAAATAAAAAATAGCTGATGAAATTAACACTACTGCCAAACGCATTCATGTAAATGTGAATGTCCTCAGAGGATAGTTGAGAAAATGACAACAAAATACATCATCTTTATTGTGGATCTGTGCAGCTGCCTAATATAAACTCTATTGCTACTGTGTCTGCTGTCTTCTCTGATTCTCAGAACTGTGAGCCTCTTCAAGAAGATGAGAAGTTTGCTCCAAATGAAGAGATGCTTAACATACGTAAAGTGCATCTCGATGATGCTGGATTGTACACCTGCAAAATGACCTTTAGTTTAGGTGGAGTCGTCGGTCAAATGGCTGAATCTGTAGAGTGTGAAGTTCACGGTGAGCGGTTACTGCACAATGGCCATTATTAAAGCTTATATGTGTACATCTAGGCCCTGTTCACACCTGCTATTAACATCTATTAACATGCATTTCATATCCAGATTGCATTTACACCTTCATTTCAATGCATTCCTAGTGTGATCGGATAGAGATCGCACTAACCTGTGCAAAATGCAAATCGACTCTTACATATTACACAAGAGATGCATTAACTCAAACATTTCCATAATCTGCCCAATTTTAAAAATATTGCTAAATAATTCAAAATACTTTCCATTACTTTTTGTTTCCTTACGAAACCTTCAGTAAAGGATGTTAATAGAGATAAGAAGTAAAATAAAGATGAGAAGTTTTAAAGTGAAGAAGTGTAATTCAGTTTTAATATCTTGTATAACAAGAGCACATGGTGGCCAATCAGAACATATGAGGAAAAAAGACAGACAAAAGCATTTCATGCAATGCAATTGCAAATACTTTATCATCTCTTTTATATCTAACAATGTTATCTCATATTTCACCCGTAATAGTCTATTTATAAACATATTCTTTCTACCACTGTCCACGTATTCTCTCTAACCACAATGAAATTATACTTTTAAATATAAAACTAAACCGCCAGTAGAGGGATCAGAGAGACGCCGGCCGGTGTATGACACATACATTTAGCTCTGATTAACGGATGTGAATAATCATGCATAACAGATAACTTCTCCAGAAATGCTTTGTTAACTTTATCTCAATTTAATTAATAAGAAACTTTTTTTTCAATATTTTGTCAATTTGCTTTTTAATGTGTTCTTTTTTTATAATTATCGCAGATGAATATTTAGAGAAACCGAGGTTGATTGAGCCAGTTAATGAGATCATCAAAGTTGAGAGAGGTAAGCTGGACATTTCTTTTAATTATCAGAATATATTTATTTATTCATGTATCTTTTATTTATCTCAATTTTTTAGCTACTCATATGTTCTGTACACTCAAAGTTCAGTTACTTGAGCAATAAACCACATCCTGCAACTAAATTCACTGTAACCCTTTTACAATAAGGTTCAATTTCCTGACATTAACCATGAACAATACTTCTAACACATTTCTTGGTCACACTTTACAATAAGGTTCATAAGTTACATTATTTAATGTTTTAACTAACATGAACTAACAACAAGCAATACATTTGTTACATTATTTATTAATGTTAGTGAATAAAAATCCAGCTGTTCATTGATTGTTCATGTTAGTTCACAATGCATTAACTAAATTTACCAAATACAACATTTGATTTTAATAATGCATTTGTAAATGTTGAAATTAATATTAATTAAAATTAATAAATGCTGTAGAAGTATTGTTCCGGTCTGAAATCGATTGCTCCGGTCTGCCTCGCTGTCTACCGTGTGGTTTGCGTCTGTAAGCTCCGTATAGCTTTCCGTTTTGAATCTCTTTTTACTATCATTCCTTGTTGTTAATATCGCTAAACATATCGTACTCGTCAACCAGATATCTGATATTATCTAATTTTGTCTGTCACATTGATCTGACTTCGCAAGCTTTAATCTAAATCACTATCGCTTGCAAAACGCTCTAGCCTTCCGCTAGCCTGTTAATCTGCCATCCGTGTTTGGCGTCTTTATTCTCTCTCGCGCTCTTGTGCCTTTTCGAGTCCATCAAACAACTGTGTTGAGTAGGATCAGTCAACAAACACGGTGAGTCATGTCTTCTCCTATTATTGTCACTTGCACTTCATGTCACATGTATAGTATAGCCTTCTCTGTCAGCGCCGAGGGCTTTACATGTGATAAATGCAGGAAGATAGTCAGGCTGACGGAGAAGATTTCAGAACTAGAGACACGCATCCAAACTTTAATCGAGGATAGTAAGAGTGCAAGGGCTTTAGATACTGCTTTGGATGCGCCTAGCTTAGTAAACTCTGTACACTCTGTAAACTCTGTTGTTGGATTCCAGCTGAAGTAGAGCCCGTGCAGCAGGGCAACTGGGGGACAAAACACCGCTCTTCCGTTCCGATTACCATAACAAATAGATTCTCCCCACTCAGTGAAACACCCACTGAGAATCCTGTTGAATGTGCCCTAGTTATTGGCGATTCTATTACACGGAACGTGAAAATAGAGACACCAGCCACCATAGTCACATGTTTGCCGGGAGCCAGATCGTCAGATCGATCAACATCAAAGCAAATTTAAAAGTGCTGGCTAATGTTAATCGTAAATTCTCTAAGATTATTATTCATGTCGGCACTAATGATGTTTGACTTCGCCAGTCGGAGATCACAAAAATTAATATTAAAGAGGTGTGTGAACTCGCAAGTACGATGTCAGCCACTGTAATTTGCTATGGCCACCTTCCTGTTCGCAGGAGTGATGACATAGTTAGTAGACTGTCCTCACTCAATGGCTGGCTGTCTAAGTGGTGTCCGCAGAATAATATAGAATTCATAGACAATTGGAAAGGTTTTTGGGGCAGACCTGACCTGTTGAAAAGAGATGGTATTCATCCCTCCTGGGATGGTGCTGCTCTTCACTCTAGTAATATGGCACATAGTCTTATAGACCTCAAACATGACAATCTGGGGCTCAGGTCAGGAAGCAGACAGACTGGCTAAACCGACCGTCTGCTAGCGGCCTCACGTCACTGAGGTCAGATAAATCCCATCACATAGAGCCTCTTTCACCTAGATATCATCATATAGAGACTGTGTCTGTTCCCCGAATTAGGACATACAAAATATAATGCAGATGAACTAATGATAAAGTTCGGGTTGCTGAATATTCGATCCCTTTCTTCAAAAGCACTCATTGTTAATGATATGATTACAGAACATAACCTAGATGTGCTGTGTTTGACAAACTTGGGTAAAACCAGACAATTACATTACTTTAAATGACTCCACCCCGCATGATTACTGTTATAAACATGAGGCTTGTTTAAAAGGAAAAGGGGGAGGTATTGCTGTAAATATCTTCAGTATTACTCAGTCTAGTTTCAAATATAATTCTTTTGAAGTGATGGTGCTTTCTGTAACGTTATCTAGCGTTAGTGATAAATCCCCTTTGACATTTGTGCTGGCTACTGTATACAGGCCACCAGGGCACCATACAGACTTTATCAAAGAATTTGCTGACTTTCTATCAGAGTTAGTACTGGCTGCAGATAAAGTACTAATTCTTGATGATTTTAATATACATGTAGATAACGAAAAAGATGCCTTGGGATTGGCCTTTAAAGACATTCTAAACTCTATTACATCATAAGAAGAATGCCATCTATGCTAATGTTAGTCTTTCTTTTATTCCGAGGTTTACCGCAGTCAGCCGGATCCGGGCCGTATCCAGATCAGCCGGTGGACCTGCGCCTGGACACGTCCACAACACATCCCTGCAGTGCCAGCCCCATCAGCCCTGTGAAGGCCTCATCGACACGACAGCACCGGCACTGATCCTCAACAGACTCGTCTCCATACCGGCGTGACTCCGACCTCCAACCAGAGGGAACTGGATAAATATTCGGAATGTTCTGATCCCATCTGACCTCTGACCTGTAATGCCTGGATCATAATCACACACTGTTCACTCATTGGCCAGAGGAGAACTGGCCCCCGACTGAGTCTGGGTTCTCCCAAGTTTTTTTTTTTTCCATTCTGTCACTGATGGAGTTTGGGTTCCTCCACTGTTGCCTTGGATTTTGGCTGCTTAGTTGGGGACATTTAATATTCAACTATATTATTGATCTGCCTTACTTCAGGTGGACGATGACGCAATTTTCTTCTAGAAAAAACTGTTGTATTATTTTCCTGTTATCACTGTGAAGCTGCTTTGATACAATCTGTATTGTAAAAAGCGCTATATAAATAAAGGTGAATTGACATGACGTGACTTGTTCATTCTTGTTAACTAAGGTAGTTAACTAATGAACCTTATTGTAAAGTGTTATGTAAATTTCAACATTTAATAATACATTATTAAAATTATATGTTGTGTCTGTTAATATTATTTAATGAACCCGAGCTAACAAGAACTAGCACCGAACAGTTGTATTTTCATTAACTAATGTTAACAAAGATGAATAAATACTGTAGAAAATGTATTGATCATTGTTATTTAATGTTAGTTAATGCATGAACTAATGTTAACTAATGGGCTCTTGTTGTAAAGTGTTACCAAAGCTAAAACTGTAAGTGTGTGTTGCCTGTGAGAGTCAGAGAATACTATAAACTCCAGCTGTGTTTTTGTTTTTCAGGTTCATCCTTCAGGAAGGATTGTGTTGTTGTTGTGCCGGGAAAAGGCGTTCCCCAGGTGCCAGTGCTGTGGAAAGTTACCTTGGGATCTGAAGAATCCCAATCTGAGGAATTTATCTCCGATAACACGTCGCATCGCATTTATCAGGAAAGCATGAAGTGAGTACTGAATTTAGCTGTGTTTCAGATAAGACAAAGACAGGGAATGAAGTTTGAATGAAGTATCCTTTGGTGTTTGGAACTATACAGACTAGATTTATATATTTATTATGAACAATCTTATGATAAAGTTCCTACAAGAAAAAAGAGAAAATACTCTAAATAAACAAAGCACCTTTCATATGTCACTGTAACAGACATAGTCCAGTGAGAGCTGTGTGTGTGTGTGTGTGTGTGTGTGTGTGTGTGTGTGTGTGTGTGTGTGTGTGTGTGTGTGTGTGTGTGTGTGTGTGTGTGTGTGTGTGTGTGTGTGTGTGTGTGTGTGTGTGTGTGTGTGTGTGTGTGTGTGTGTGTGTGTGTGTGTGTGTGTGTGTGTGTGTGTGTGTGTGTGTGTGTGTGTGTGTGTGTGTGTGTGTGTGTGTGTGTAAACCTCACTCCCCTGATATCAAGAGACTGTTGTCTTTATCCTCCATGATTGAGCGCTCGCCTCTTATGCATTCGGGTTTGAGTCTCGCTTAGAGCAGGCGGTTCGAGCTGGAGGGGCTACATAATGTATTTCAATAGTTGGATAATACAAAAATTACTGTTACCACATGATTATTTAATATTTAAAACATTTTCATTAAGTTTTCCCAGTCAAAATTATGTCACAGTTATGCATTGTGACATATACCATTACTTGGATATAGGATTATCATGCATCTGTCATGAGTCACAACAGAAGGAAAATATTCATATAAAAAAATGACTAATTGTAAAAAGTCCACCTGAAGTAAAGCAGATCAATAATACTGTTGAATATTAAATGTCCCCAACTAAGCAAGCCAAATTACACTTTTTTTTTTACATTTATTTAGGGCTGTCAAATGATTAATCACGATTAATCACATCCAAAATAAAAGTTTTTTTTACATAATATATGTGGGTGCACTGTGTATAATTATTTTGTGTATATATATAAATACACACACATGCATGTATATTTAAGAAAAAAATATTATTTATATATAAAATATTTATATTTATATATAATATAAATTATATATAAATCTATATACAGTATATACATGAAAATATTTCTTAAATATATACAAGCATGTGTGTGTATTTATATATATAAAATAATTATGCACAGTGCACCCACATATATTATGTAAAAAAAACTTTTATTTTGGATGTGATTAATCACGATTAATCATTTGACAGCCCTACATTTATTTTAAGAATCAAAATGATTTAGTGAAAGAATATATATATATATAGGTAAATATTCCTGTTTATTAGTAGGTAACAATACATTGGTCAGTTATAATCAATATAATGTTAAGTTAAAAGTGTAACTGTGTGTCCTTTCCTCTTAAAGTGAAAGCAGAACGGAGGAGGGTTTTGTGTTAGTGCAAACACTCTCCGTGTCAGATGTTTGGCAGGAAGATTTCTATCTAAACTTCACCTGTATGGTGTTCAGCAGCCGAGGAACCCCGAGCGGACAGTTCTCCCTCATTCCTGCAGGTGCGACACCATAACACCGTCACACCATCACAACATCACAGCATCACACCATCACACCTTCACACCATCACAGCTTCACAGCATCACATCAGAGCATCACAACATCACAGCATCACACCATCACAGCTTCACACCATCACAGCATCACACCCGTCACAGCATCACAGCGTCACACCATAACAGCGTCACACCATCACAGCATCACAACATCACAGCTTCACACCATCACACCATCACAGCATCACACCGTCACAACGTCACACCATCACAGCATCACAGCGTCACACCATCACAGCATCCCACCATCACAGCATCACACCATCACACCCTTCACACCATCACAGCATCACACCCGTCACAGCATCACACCATCAAAGCATCACACCATCACAGCATCACACCGTCACAGCATCACACCATCACAGCATCACACCATCACAACATCCCACCATCACACCATCACAGCATCACACCATCACACCATCACAGCATCACACCATCACAGCATCACACCGTCACAGCATCACACCATCACAGCATCACACCATCACAGCGTCACACCATCACAGCATCACAGCATCACACCATCACAACATCCCACCATCACAGCATCACACCGTCACAGCATCACACCATCACAACATCCCACCATTACAGCGTCACACCATCACAGCATCACAGCGTCACACCATCACAGCATCACACCGTCACAGCATCACACCGTCACAGCATCACAACCTCCCACCATCCCAGCATCACAACATCCCACCATCACAACATCACAGCATCACACCATCACAGGATCACACCATCACATCACACCTTCACAGTATCACTACATCACACCATCACAGCTTCACACCATCACAGCATTACACCCTTCACACCATCACACCATCACAGCTTCACAGCATTACACCCTTCACACCATCACAGCTTCACACCATCACAGCATCACACCATCACACCCGTCACAGCATCACACCATCACTGCATCACACCATCACAGCATCACACCCATCACAGCATCACACCCATCACACCCATCACTGCATCACACCATCACTGCATCACACCATCACTCCATCACACCATCACAGCTTTTTGCAGCTTTTTAAGACTTTATTGGTCCAAAATCTTGCTGCATCAAATGTCATTTTGTTATCGGCTGTTGTTGTTTCGCTTTGAGTGTCGACAGACCAGTGACTAGTTAACTGGTTAAATGAGCAATGGGTCTTTCTCCTTTAGTCATAGTGGCCGAGATTTAGGGCAAGTGAAAACCATTAAACTCACAAGTCTTCACCATATCCCTCTGGGGTCTAAGGTGTTTTCGGGGTCCTTGAGATGTTTTGACATGCCCTGACATTTGTGCTTTTTTCAGTTGCTTATAAACATATTAATGGCAAAGGTGTAATTACACTCTATTTAGCACAAACAGGGCTACCATAATATGTGAGCAACATGTATGTACATGTTTGTATTTTTGAGAGAATAATGTTTATGCATGGTTATTGAAAAAACTAAAAATTTAAGTTTCTGAAATTAGGCCACAAAACACATACTAAATATGTGTCCACAAGACTTTTGACTAATGGATGTTGTCGCCTAGAGTTTTTGCTTAAAAATGATCTGAAAATCATCCTGCCTAATCAGTCACATAAAACAATACATTGATTTAAACTTTGTAAGACACGTTTTGTTTGGAAAGGCAATATGCGTGGGGGCGTGAATGATCATGAATAATGCTGTGATTCACACCTGAGAAGACAATGAGTTGCATAATGACCCTTTCAGTCAGGTGTGTCACTGGGTACCACAAGAAAGAATGTGAGGACTTATTTAGTATGCATGCATATTGTATAATACCCAAGATAAACATTTCTAGTAACTATGCAGTTAATTCTCATACTGTATTTTCAGAAAGTTTTGGAATATATCCTCTCCCTAAATGTGTCACTAATAAAAAACAATGATAAATAATTGAATGAGAAGGCTTATATTAACCTATTAATGTTGCTTACATCTACCTTATTTTATTTTTTGCTATTTTATTAAAAAGTGTTCACATATAAATCAACAACAATTACAATTTTAACAATGTTTCAAGTGTAATCTTTTTTTGTAAAAAGTATACATTTTATCATACGTATTTCAAAGTTATTAGTTAGAATATTGGAACAAAAACTATAGAAACATCTTAGTTGATAATTCAATATACTTTATTTTTGACAAAACATCCCATACTATATATTTAACATATGAGCAGAAATTGGCGAACAAAAGCTTATTTGATGTGAAAGTAGTCTATTTTACAGTAAAAACTTTATAATCTATCCAAAACTAATCAACGAAATCTTAACTAAACATTCATATTTCGTCTGTAACATATCGTTTTTATGATATATTAGCATATAAATGTTAATTTGCAGTTTAACACGTTGCTTATACGGCACAGATGCAAGCTTTATTAGTAAACAACAGCACGCATCTGTGCAGTTCATTCATTCAAACACAGACATACGATTCATATTTAAACAGTCTTTTTGCGGTTTACAGACACTATTGCATATTGCGATGAGAACAAAGCACTTAAGAATAAAGAACTTACTATTCCACCTCAGCTAGATCCGTTGCTCCTCGAAGTGAAACTAAACCGGCACTTCTGAGGTACATTTTTCAGGATTATTATCACGATAGTAATAATAGCGTCGTAGAGTCTGATTAAACTTGATGTGTTTTATCCAGTTGATGTGGCACGTTTGCATGGATTGCCTCAGATCATTTGCGTTTGAATAGCGCGCGCTCTCCGCGGGCGTGGTCACATTAACACTTAATGAGCTATAATGAGCTGAAATGAGAACGACTGACATCTCTCTCTTTTCATACAGATTACATAAACTGAGAATATTTGTTTTTTATATAAATTACTTCATTTCAAAAGAAGAGAATTCAAGCTTCATGCCTGTGTGCCTGTATTCCTGCTTGACTGAGTATTCGCTGAGTTACAGTTCATTTTCGGACGTGTTTCAGACTTCATTGACAGAGAGAACGCAGAACTCGCATCATGTTTATTTCTCTTTATTTGGCAAAAAGCACAACACTTTGTTTTTGTTGTGAGTATCCACAAAAAAATAGACACTTAACAGGATTGAATGATGTATAACACTTATATGTAAGATCAAAATCAACAGAGTATTTTGAGTCTCTTTTGCACTAAGAAAAAAAGCGAGCCCGTCGCGCCGCAAATCTATTGGTTTGTCTGAAGTTTTAATGGTTGAGTTGACTATAAATTAAATCACTGAAATAATCATTTTAATTATTGAACGTATTAAATGAATAATTATTCCTCATTTATGTTGATTCAACATAAAGATACGTGGACTCGATGCGTTAATATTTTTATTATTAAACCACAACCCTAATTTATTTATTTACTTTTTTAAATAACATTTTGAATGCCCCTTTCTCCATTATTTTATTAACTAGTTTATTTACTTGTTCTCTTTTGTAGATACCGGCATCTTTTCATGACACATTTGTCTTGTTTATTTATTAAATAGTTATTTATTATTTATTCTGTGTTTACAGAATGACATGTTTTAAAGTTTATATTGCTTTCAAATGATTTTGAAGATTGGTATTTGGAAAATAAAATGTCTATAAGCAAGCATATGATCTACTTTCACTTGTCTATTATACCAGCAACACAAACAGATTTCCACATCCACAGATCCGAATATCTTCTTGCTTCTCGGGCTTCTCCTGGGGTCGGTTGCGCTGCTTTTCGTGATGGGAGTTTCTCTGTGCACCGTATTCAAGGTGGAACTGGCCTTGTGGGTCCGGACTGTGTTTCCATTCCTCTACAAAACCACAGGTACTCACATAAACAGGAAATATACTTTTGCACATTAGCAGTGTCGCGCAGTTACTTGGAAATAACACAGTTACATTAACTGAAGTTCACACCTTCCCCTGCAATCAAAGCATTACAGGACATGCTGAAACTTTGTTTCTGGTGATGTTTCTTCTAGATGGTGATGGTAAGCAGTATGACGCCTACATTGCCTACCCAAGAGTGCTTGATGGCTCGAGTGAAAAGGCTGAGGTGTTTGCGATGAGCACTTTGCCGCAGGTCTTGGAGGGCCGGTACGGTTATAAGCTCTTCATCCTGGGCCGGGACGGTCTACCTGGAGAAGGTAAAGAGTTTGCAACAAAACAAAGCACTGTAATATAAACCAGCGGTTCTTCTTGTGATCACACTGGAAATCAATACAAACATTAGCTGTATTACAGTAGTCTGGGTTAGGGCTGCATGATTTAGGGAAAAAATCTATTTGGGATTATTATGATAAAAATTGTGAGGTTTGCTGTGCTTCTTAGTGGGGCTGCACAATTTGGGCCAAAATTTTGTGATTTTATATATCAAAATGACTAAATAATAATACTTTTTAATATCATTTTTGTTGTTAATATCAAACAAAAAGTTATAATAATAGATAATGAGTAATCAAGAAAATAATATAATAATGAATAAGATTGGTGGATGTTATTTTATGTCCCCTCATTATTTGTGGTGAAAAGCTGTGTAATAAGTCATTTCCCATACATTTTCGGTAGGGATGCACCGATATAAAAATTTTGTCCGATAACCGATAATCATTAATATTTTTAAGCTGATAAATCTAAATCCAAATATTTATATAATTTTTGAGAGCCTGATTACAAAAACACAAGTCTCGCCATTAACCTTCTGGGGTCTGAGGTGTTCTGACATGCTCTGACATTTGTGCTTTTTTCTGTTACTTGTGACATTTTCATGGCTAGAGTCTGATTACACTGTATTCAGCACAAACTCTGCTACAGTAATATGTCAGCAGCATGTAGGTAAAAGTTTGTAGTTTTGAGATAATGACGTTTATGCGTGGTTTGTGAAAAAACTAAAAAAAAATTGTCACTGAAATAAGGTCATGGAACCCATACTGATTATTTCTTCACAAGACTTTTGAAAATTGTATCACTTAGCCTGGAGTATTTGCTCGAAAACTATGTGAAAATCATCCTGACTACTCATTCAGATAAGACAATAAAGTCTTTTAAAATTTGTATGACGTGTTTTGTGTAAGAAAGCTTTATGCGAAGGAGGCGTAATCTCATTAATATTACTGCTTTTCACACCTGAGAAAGACAAAGACCCTCCCATAATGGCCCTATTAGGTGCTATCAGGCCATATCATTAGGAGCCTTGCACAAAGAATGAGATTTAAAAAAGAATGGCTTTTAGATTGTTTGGATTTATTTACAACACAACATAATCCAAAGATACACAACAAAGGATAAATCTAAAGACAGAGGCTTGAACAGTCACACAACTTTGTGCCATTCCTGAAACATAGTACATACCTGTCATTTCCAAGGTGTTTGATTTTTCACTTAACCATGTTCATGTACGGAGTCTCCTGTGAATGTTGACGTCAGCAGGACTCATCAGTGGCATCTGGTCCCTGTAAAAAAATAAACCTGTGAACAAGCTGATATCAAGAGAAACTATAGGGCTGCACAATTTTGGGAATACATTTTAGATTTTTCTGGTTAAAATTATTATTAAATATATATGAACACCAAGTTTGTTGTGCATTGTTATAGCCTATCTGTAGGGCTGCATAAAATAATAACAGAGAGATAGCAGGCAGCCTATATATCGTTAAAAAGTACACTTCAGTAACACTACACTAGACAAAAATATATGGATTATCATATGTTACTTCAAACGTTTCCATTCGTTATGAAATGAGATTGGAGAAAAACATGAAGCCTAATGTTTGGCGTGTTTTGCTTTTCTAACCCACAGCGCGAGTGACTCAAACTCAGCGCATGCAGAGAACGTTTACTGAAGCGATCGAGCCGCTCCAAACTATGAAACATTATTCTTACCATATTATACATATCTACGTGTGAGCAGATATCCACAAACACAGTATTTAACAGTAAACACAGGTCTAAACATTATAATATTCACCATTGAAGAATAAGCCTACTTTATATCATGCTGTGTTTAATTATCGAAGATAAAAACATTCTTGTGTTTACATGTATATTAATTTAGCATTAGGCTTCATGTTTCACTCCAATCTCATTTCATAACATTTTAGTCTGGCACCAGTTTAACTAGTAGCTACAATGTAAAGTATATACAACCATAAGACGCTTATTATGTGTCTTACCTTAAAAATCGTTCTCATAATCAAATCGTGTTCTTCCAAGGTTAATAAGGTGCACAGACCAAACACTACCAAACGCGTTGAAAAGCAGAGCAGGGCTGAAGTCGCTGGGTCTGTGTTTAGAGGCGATGAGGGCGTTGCGTTCCTCCGCGTGGATCATTTGAATCTGAACAGCTCGCGCGCGTGTGGGCGGGGTCACATTAGAGTTAATGAGCTCCGGCTGAAGAAACTGTACATGTCGTTGCTTTCATACGGATTACTTAAACAGAGAATATTTGTTTTTGGTATGATTTACATCATTTAAAAATGGAGACTTAAAGCTTTGTAAAGACATAACTCTCACGTGTGGGTGGCAAGTATTTGCTGAGTTAAAGATCATTTTCTGTCGCGTTTCAGAATGAACTTCACATTGAGAGAGACGACAGAACGCGCATCATGTTTATTTTCTTGATTTTACGAAAAACACAACATTTTGTTTTTATTATTAGTGTACACAAATAAAAGTAGACATTTAACAGTTTTGAATGATGTATAACACTTGCCTGTATCACAAAAATATCAGTTATTTGAGTCTCTTTTGCACTGATAAGAAAAAAAGAGAGACAATCGCGCCGACCCCAGAGGGTTAAAAGCCACGTCCCAAACACAGTTATAACGATGCTCTCATCATAATTCTATGTAGCTGATATTACAGACTTGCGCTGCACATGTTGCACTGAACTGTATTTTCCTTTTATGAAGTTATTTCAAATATATTTAAAGCATTTTAAAACCATCATGTTGAACCGTGCACATCTAAATAATCCATTATTTATCGGCTTTAATATATCGGCCAACTCGCTTTATCGGGCCGATAATGAAAACATTAAAAATGAAGATACATCGGCATCGATACCGATATGGTGGCCGATATATTGTGCGTCCCTAATGTTAGGTTTAATCCCGATGTTCTGCCGGGCTGATTCTCCTCCTCATGTTTCCAGCGGTGGTGGATGTTGTCGAGGAGGCTCTGACCCGCTGCCGTCGACTTCTTCTCCTCTACACCTCGACGTCTCTCTGCAGTCCCGAGGCGCTGGAGTGGGCCGAGCAGCAGACGGGCCTGTACCGAGGGCTCGTGGAGAACACCGTGAGCATCGTGCTCCTGGAGCTGGAGGAGATCCGAGAGCCCGACCGCCTGCCTCACTCGGTGAGACTCCTCAAGGAGAAACAGGGAGCGTTACAAGCCTGGAAGAGAAGGAAGAGGTGGATGTGCTGCGACTGGAAGACGGAGAAGCGCTTGACCTCTCTCGACCCCTCGGCACGCTTCTGGAGGGAGGTGCGCTACCATATGCCTGTCAGAGGAAAAGCCAAAAACAGGAATTGGTTTAGTTTCTAGCTTGAAGTGATGCAGTCAGCAATCTGGAGGTGAAAAGAAGCTTTAGCTTTAGCGCAACAGGAACCGCACACTTTTTCACCAGCCTTTGTTCCAGAGGTTCTTTTTTGAAATTTTAGTAAAGAAATATAAACAGATTAGCCAAACATGTCAGCTCCCACATGGATCTCTATATTACAGTCTTTTCTCTTTATTTTTGGAGACCAACGATTTTTTCTTCTGAAGCCCAGTTGTTTCTCTGATTACAACCTAAAACTATCCACCACAGAACTCTTGATGGGAAGACCCAGAGATCTGTCTTAAAGGTTCTCTAAGCGATCCTGGGTGACGTCACTTCTTGTTGACGTTCGAACTATTGTCAAACAAAACGGAGGCTAGCTAGACCCTCCCTCCTCCTCATCCGCGCACTAACCCCCCAAACCCCGCCCCCAAACCCTTCTTGTCGGTCATTGGCTGGAACAGTTTGTTATGTTTCGGGGAGCGGGTCGCCGCAGTTTGTTTTTGTTGCTGTTTGTGGAGCCTGGGCTGTCTACAGAGATCGCGTTTCTTTACAGTGTGTTCAGGGGACAGGCAGCCAGCGGATAGTGAGGAGATGTTTGCTGTATGTGACAAAAAGTGTTTTGGCCTAAAAAACGCGTGACATCGCTTAGAGCACCTTTAAAGGCTGTTGCACACTGAACCTGAAACCAGACCACAATGTTTTCAGTGAACTAAGATGAAGAGAACTTGAGCTCTTGCACACCAGTCATTCTATGGACACAAAATAGAAAGCTGTAAATACTATGTCAGATGTAAAATATAAAAAAAATACAGAAATGATGGATATAAAAACCAAAAGATTGTATGTTTTTTTGCTGCACACATACTGTGCTCTTGTGTTCATACTGTGATTGGATTCACAAACAATCTGTTGTGCAGTGATATATTTTTTGCTTAATGTGTTTTATTGTACTTTTATGATTTTTACTCCAAATATTTTTACATTTTCTATTTACTATATGAATTGCGTATTTAATATGAATATTCAATTCAATTCACATTTATTTGTATAGCACTTTTCACAATACACATCGTTTCAAAGCAGCTTTTCAGAAAATGCATGAGTCGAGTCCATATTACAATTTACAGTGATCTGTTATCAGAGGAAACTGTCTAAGTTATGCATTTCAGAAATGTGCATATACAAAATCACAGTTAGCTAAAAATGTATCAATTTAAACAATGTAATAATTTAAGGGAGAAACAACGAGCTCATTGAAGTAATGAATACTTGTTTGTTAACAATTGAGGATGACATTTAGAAAAATGTAGCAAATGAAGAGATTTTTTTAAGTGCCCCTATGATGCTTTTTGAGATATTACCCTTCATATAGTGAGTAATAAAGATGTTTGTGAATGTAAAAGATCTGCAAAGTTTCACAGGACCGTAGGGTGTCCCGTTTGTCATGTTAGTGTGATAATGTGCTCTTCTTCTGAGCCGTGAGCTCCACAGCGACTGCGGCCGACAGGCATTACGTCACAGAGTGTGACAGAGCCATTCCCTCCCGAAAGACACAAGCGATTCTGAACTGAAACGAGTCGTCAGTAATTCCAGACTCACTTCAAGCTGAACCAGGGTGGGTTTGTAACTCATTAGCATAATGCCTCCATTGGCCTTCAGGCTGCCCGCAAGCAATGCCGCCATCGTAGCTGTTCGTATCACTAGAGATTCTAAGGCTGTGACACAGTGGCGCGACGAAGGTCCTAATTCGAAGGTGCCATCAAATACACAATGAAGGACACAATAAATGTTTCCATCCACGCGTTTTTATCCGAATTAAGTGATATCGAATGAAAAATGCCTTATAGAAACAGTAAAATTCGATTGAATTTCATGAATATCGACTCAAATGAAATACGTTCGGTCTCATCGGAATTTATCTTGATCGATATACGGCTTATGCGATAAACGCTGATGGAAACGTTATTTGCCGAATAAATAATGAATTGCGATTAAGTTTTAGGTCATGTTATGGTTGCAACACGCCACAAAACATAGAAGTAGTTTTAGTTCATTTCCGCCCAGTATTTGCGCACACATGTGGGTGTCAACAAAGACAGATGTAAGTGGACAAAGCAAAGAAATGCTTCAACCAAAGGGTTTCCGTGAGGTGTCTCTGAGCCGCGATGGAGCGCTGTCGTTCCCACACCACAGGCGCCTCCGCTGGCGTCGGGCATTTACGTGCATCTGCATCATCATAGCCATGTGTTGATAGCGTCGTTGTTTTCTTATTATAGCTTGTTATTACATGGCTTGCTTGAATTCTAATGTATAATGCGGTCTGTTATTTCTTGATAACACACCGTTGCCATGGACGCAGTTCAGAGACGGAACGGACTATTTTCTTTAGCGGAAGCAATACAATAGTTTTTAAATCAATAAACTCCTTTTTAAATCAATATTTTGTGTCAAATTATTTAACAATGTAGATTGTTCCAAAGCTGCTTTACAGTGATCAAAGGAAATTAAAGTAACAGAGATTGAAAACCTGCGGGTTTTTATCTCCATAAATATATCTAGTAGTAAAGCTAATGCAAGGGCTATAAATCATTAGCTGATACTTCCTCGTCATCATGGAAAGCGCGCAGTTCATGGTTGCATAGCAGCGACAGACACCATGGGAGCGCGAGCGCTTGTGGAAAGGAGAGCGTTTTAGGCGCGATATGTGAACGGCCTCTTACAGTGTTGGCAAATTACGATATTTTTGTCTTCCTTGATGAAATACTTCCACACATCTGATGTGTGGTGTCTGTTGGTGACGTTCGCCATTTTGAATTAATTTATGGTTAATGGGCGCTCGAGTAGTCGATTGTTTCCAACAGCGCCGACTAGTGGTTGAAGTAATCAATCTCTCGACTACTCGACTAGTCTGTGCAAGGCCTTATATATATAGCCTACACCTCCTTAAAGAAATCATCAGTTTAGTTATATTTGCAGGAAGATGTCCTGAAATCTGTTCTTCATCATCTCTAAAGCTCGATCTATGCACTGTGCTCTGGAATGGTGGATGTTAAAGCGTACGTTAAAACATACCGGGTCTGTTTGCATTTTACTTCCGCACGTTTAAGGGTGGTTCATTTGACTTTTTATTATCTTTTATTACTTTATATACATTTGGCTAGTTTAATCTACAGCAATGCATCATAATAACAACATTTTGTCACGGTACGGTTACCAAAAGTGAAGGAGAGGACTCAAGTGCAGCATAAGGGGTATATTTATTAACAAAACACAAAACAAAAACCCACGAGCGGGAAAACATAAAAGATAAAGCATAAAACAGAACCAAACTAGAAAACCAACCTGACAAGGAACAACATGAGCATGACAAGGAAAACCGGGGAAACATAAAGCAAAGATCCGACAAAGACTGCATACAAGGGGAGACTTATAAAGGGAACAAATCAAGAGGGAAACAGGTGGTTGAACTCAAACAATAATCAGGTAACGAGGGGGAGGGATCAGACAATGACATGAGCACATGGCCCAACATAACAAACACCCAAGTGTCACACAGGACAGGACAGACACGTGACACTACCCCCTCCCTACGGAGCGGCTACCAGACGCTCCATCCGGTGGCACGGGAGGGACACACCAGGGGGGCACGGGAGAGACAGGAACATAGGGCGGCCAGGGCGGTGAAGAGCCCTCGGGCGGCCAGGGCGGTGAAGAGCCCTCGGGCGGCCAGGGCGGTGAAGAGCCCTCGGGCGGCCAGGGCGGTGAAGAGCCCTCGGGCGGCCAGGGCGGTGAAGAGCCCTCGGGCGGCCAGGGCGGTGAAGAGCCCTCGGGCGGCCAGGGCGGTGAAGAGCCCTCGGGCGGCCAGGGCGGTGAAGAGCCCTCGGGCGGCCAGGGCGGTGAAGAGCCCTCGGGCGGCCAGGGCGGTGAAGAGCCCTCGGGCGGCCAGGGCGGTGAAGAGCCCTCGGGCGGCCAGGGCGGTGAAGAGCCCTCGGGCGGCCAGGGCGGTGAAGAGCCCTCGGGCGGCCAGGGCGGTGAAGAGCCCTCGGGCGGCCAGGGCGGTGAAGAGCCCTCGGGCGGCCAGGGCGGTGAAGAGCCCTCGGGCGGCCAGGGCGGTGAAGAGCCCTCGGGCGGCCAGGGCGGTGAAGAGCCCTCGGGCGGCCAGGGCGGTGAAGACCCTTCGGGCGGCCAGGGCGGTGAAGACCCCTCGGGCGGCCAGGGCGGAGACGGCCCATCGGGCGGCCAGGGCGGTGGAACAGGAGCAGGCACCGGCTCGGGAACTGCAGCAGGCACCGGCTCGGGAACTGCAGCAGGCACCGGCTCGGGAACTGCAGCAGGCACCGGCTCGGGAACTGCAGCAGGCACCGGCTCGGGAACTGCAGCAGGCACCGGCTCGGGAACTGCAGCAGCAGGCACCGGCTCGGGAACTGCAGCAGCAGGCACCGGCTCGGGAGCAGCAGCAGGCACCGGCTCGGGAGCAGCAGCAGGCACCGGCTCGGGAGCAGCAGCAGGCACCGGCTCGGGAGCAGCAGCAGGCACCGGCTCGGGAGCAGCAGCAGGCACCGGCTCGGGAGCAGCAGCAGGCACCGGCTCGGGAGCAGCAGCAGGCACCGGCTCGGGAGCAGCAGCAGGCACCGGCTCGGGAGCAGCAGCAGGCACCGGCTCGGGAGCAGCAGCAGGCACCGGCTCGGGAGCAGCAGCAGACACCGGCTCGGGAGCAGCAACAGACACCGGCTCGGGAACAGACACCGGCTCGGGAACAGACACCGGCTCGGGAACAGACACCGGCTCGGGAACAGACACCGGCTCGGGAACAGACACCGGCTCGGGAACAGACACCGGCTCGGGAACAGACACCGGCTCGGGAACAGACACCGGCTCGGGAACAGACACCGGCTCGGGAACAGACACCGGCTCGGGAACAGACACTAGAACAAACACAGTCGCAAAGACAGACACAAACACAGACACAAAAACTGGGTCAGGCTCAGGAACAGGCACTGGCTCTGCCTCCGGCTCTGGAACGAGCACCGGCTCCGCCTCCGGCTC